GTCCAGTTACATAGGGTACACTGCGATATCCCGGAAGTCACATTTTTCAGTACATTTCAATGGATAAGATAAGGTTTTAATCAGTTGAATTTTGGGGCACCCTATGTCTGGACCAACCCAAGTGGATGTTACCAGAGAAAGATCTTTCCACTGGAACTTGCGCCTGTTGAAATGGCATGATATGCCGCAGCTTTGGATCAAGCGCAAAGTTGGAAGACATTGGAGATCGTTGCTAATCTTCCAACGATTGGCAATGAAAATTCATGAAATCCAAACCTCCGGCTTTGACATGGATGTAGGTATGTCTGACACTTTGGGTTTTTTCTTAACTGTCTCGGGGAAAGCTATGTGTTTCTTTGAATGGCGCGGGATTCGCTCAAAGGTGAGAAGAAACTTCACTAGGTCAGGAACTGAGGAGTTCAGGTAACTGAGCATTTTTCCGACAAAACTAGGCCCCTCTTGGCAGACATATTTTGATTGACATCGTGACCACCGCGTTTCCGCAGACCACCATGATGCGTCGCGAAAGTGCAGCTGGCTGGCTGCTTCTGGCCGCCCTGGGCTGGCAGCTGACTGGATTTGTGCCAGGACGGAAGTTGTTGAACGAAATGGCCATGGATAGATACCTACAAAGACATCTTTTACCAGGAAGAAATTTCAGCTGGTTTGATAGCCCTTATTGTGGTAAACTGTCCACATGTTCAAGCCATTTCACCTGTCAAACTCCAAAATCTTAGTCAGTCAAAAGCTCCATTTCTAGTGGTCAAACCATGTTAAACCTCCATTTTTGATAGTAAAACCTCTATTTTTCTGGGTAAAATCCCCACATTTTTCACCTGCTCCCAGGACCCACGACTCCTTCGCCCAACCCGTCGCCTTCGCCGCGCCGCGCCGTGGCCACCGCCGAGGTCTCCGCGGCGCCGGCGATGGCGACGACGACCCCGTGGCGCGGCGTGCTGCGGCGGCTGCTGCTGGCACGACGGCAGGGGGCGAGGGAGGCGGCCTTTAAGGAACTGGCGGAAATTTATGATGAGACTTGGATGAAACATGAATGGCCAAATGTGGCATATGACATTTTGATATAGTATTATAATGTGTGAGATATACACTGTATAGATAAATCATGGTGGGATTTAGTGGTACAATGGTGGATTATAGTGGTATGGATGATGACATTTGGATGGGAAGATGATGATGAAACTTACAATCAATGGATACTCATGGTCGTATATAGTGGATCAAAACATGGTTATTTGTTGTACTGTGCTTTCCGAACCAAAGGGAATGAATTGGAGTTACAAGACAATACCCATTAGAAGGAATTTCTAATGATGGCGGGATGACCACACCCCATAAATTCTACGTTTTGACCATGGCAAATATGGGTGACTAGCCACTTATCAGTGCGGATGAGCGGTGTAACAACCTGGAGCGCTTGCTGATACTCTGAGTTCATGCATTTGCCCGGGTAGATGCACCAATTTGAAAAATCCTATATATAATCAATTGTATTTACAGATAGAACTGATGCATCTACCAATTGGCATGTTGTATAAATCACTGATGCATGATACAACATTGCCAATTTGAGTGGATCTATCAGATCAATCATTGGTGTCATGAAATGACTTGTATTTCAGACTTTGGTTCCAGGCCTAAATTTGCCGATCGACACGCCTCAAATTTGGAACCCTAAAATCCTGTATTTGTTAATCATTTTCGGAACATCAAGGCTGGGTTATGACCTCTTGAGACTTTAGAAGGGCTTGGTGGGGTATCTTTGTTTGATGAACTCAAGCTGTTCAAAGAATATCGACCCCTGAGGAAGTCAGTAGCGAGATGTTTGCGGAGGTGGAGAAGTACGCGTTGATGCTGGAGGAATGCTGGGTCTACCTGGGTGAATGGTAAGTTCGCATGCTATGTTTGTGTCATGTTGATGGGAACATAGGTTGTGAATAGCCAGCTAAACCTTGGCTTTTTGGTAGGGTATCTAAGAAATTCTAAGAATATCGATGATTTATGCAGAAAACCAGGCAAAGTATCATGATATATAGCGACCTGCTAGGGACCTCAACCTTATTTCTGCGTATACTAGAGGGGGTTTTTCCTTGTTTTAGCTCTGTGAGATCATTTGAAATCAAGCCAACAAGCCTGGTGATATTTTTCCAGCGATTCATTCCGTATTGAAATTTCATGATTTGTCATGTTTTGGGAATGGATGAACACCTATGATTCATACCATATTTGGGAGGCTTATTCACATCAACTGCAACGATTTTGGGCTGAACAGAAGGGGGATTCCATGGCTACCCAGACCGCCATCTGGCTACGGCCATCTGCCAGGAGAAACCACCGTTGCAGCTGCTTCGTTTGCGTCCCTTTCTGGGCTACCGCTCGGCCTGTGCCAGCCTCTACCGCACCGTGAGGGATCATATTCTGCCGCAACAAGCAGTGACTTGGTGATGTTGAGTCTGAGAGGGCAGCGGATTGATTGGTTGATTAATGAACTAGTTACTACTACTACTGCTGCTACTACTACTGCTACTACTACTACTACTGCTACTACTGCTACTACTACTACTACTGCTACTACTACTACTGCTACTACTACTACTACTGCTACTGCTGCTACTACTACTACTGCTACTACTGCTACTACTACTACTACTGCTACTACTGCTACTACTACTACTGCTACTACTGCTACTACTACTACTACTGCTACTACTACTACTGCTACTACTACTACTGCTACTACTGCTACTACTACTACTGCTACTACTGCTACTACTACTACTGCTACTACTACTACTACTGCTACTACTGCTATGGCTACTGCTACTGCTACTGCTACTGCTACTACTGCTACTACTACTACTGCTACTACTACTACTACTGCTACTGCTCCTGCTACTGCTACTGCTACTGCTGCTGCTGCTACTACTACTACTACCACTACAACTACTACTACTAGTAGTACTACTACTACTACTGCTACTGCTACTGCCACTGCCACTGCTACTGCTACTGCTACTGCTACTACTACTACTGCTACTACTACTGCTACTGCTACTGCTACTACTACTACTACTACTGCTACTACTACTACTACCACTACCACTACTACTACTGCTACTGCTACTGCTACTACTACTACTGCTACTACTACTACTACTACTAGTAGTGCTACTTCTACTACTGCTGCTGCTACTACTACTACTACCACTACTACTACTGCTACTGCTACTGCTACTGCTACTGCTGCTACTACTACTACTACTGCTGCTACTGCTGCTACTGCTACTACTACTACTACTACTACTACTACTACTAGTGATTATGTATAATTAAGGTTGCATCACCGGGGTAGCAACCCCCTCGATGCCGACAAGAACGATGCTGTTTATTGGGCATGGGAGTTCTCAATGTCAGCATAGTAACTTCCCTGGTCCCGGGAAGAATTCCCTTGATTGGATTCGGGTTGATTGATGTGTTCCAAAATCGGAAATGCCCTCCCATGAACTTATAGAATGATCCTATGTAATCAAACATTGGATGGGTCTGAATTCTCCCTTTTGATTGGAAATTTGGAAATAATTCACGTTTGGGACTTCAGAAACGAGTTCTACGTGCAGAAGCCCGCAGCCCGCCTAATAAAAAGCCCCAAGGAATCAATCCTCTGGGGCACTTGGGCGCCGCGCTTTCATCTTCGATTCGGTTGAAGCTGGGCCTGGATCACGGCGGGCCTGGATCAGGGCTGGACAGGCGGCCTCATGGAATGTGGGAAACCCAAAATATAACGCCGACCGTGTAGTTTTTGGGGATCTTTTTCCCCAAACAGTTTACTGTAGGGGTTCTCAGTTCTTTCTTAAGAGGTGTCCGCCCTTGTGTTACTGGCGGTGTCCGGCTCTCTGGGTCTGTCGCTTTATTTGTCTCCCTTCATTTGTCTCCCTTCATTTGTCTCCCTTCATGTGTCCTTCTGGGTGGTGGTGTCCGGCTCTCTGGATCTGTTGCTTTATTTGTCTCCCTTCATTTGTCTCCTTTCATGTGTCCTTCTGAGTGGTGGTGTCCGCCTCTCTGGATCTGTCGCTGTATTTGTCTCCCTCAATTTGTCTCCCTGCATGTGTCCTGCTGGGTGGTGGTGTCCGGCTCTCTGGATCTGTCGCTATATTTGTCTCCCTTCATTTGTCTCCCTTCATGTGTCCTTCTGGGTGGTGGTGTCCGCCTCTCTGGATCTGTCGCTGTATTTGTCTCCCTCAATTTGTCTCCCTTCATGTGTCCTTCTGGGTGGTGGTGTCCGGCTCTCTGGATCTGTTGCTTTATTTGTCTCCCTTCATTTGTCTCCCTTCATGTGTCCTTCTGAGTGGTGGTGTCCGCCTCTCTGGATCTGTCGCTGTATTTGTCTCCCTCAATTTGTCTCCCTGCATGTGTCCTGCTGGGTGGTGGTGTCCGGCTCTCTGGATCTGTCGCTATATTTGTCTCCCTTCATTTCTCTCCCTTCATGTGTCCTTCTGGGTGGTGGTGTCCGGCTCTCTGGATCTGTCGCTGTATTTGTCTCCCTTCATTTGTCTCCCTTCATGTGTCCTTCTGGGTGGTGGTGTCCGCCTCTCTGGATCTGTCGCTGTATTTGTCTCCCTCAATTTGTCTCCCTTCATGTGTCCTTCTGGGTGGTGGTGTCCGCCTCTCTGGGTCTGTCACTTCATTTGTCTCCCTTCATTTGTCTCCCTTCATGTGTCCTTCTGGGTGGTGGTGTCCGGCTCTCTGGATCTGTTGCTTTATTTGTCTCCCTTCATTTGTCTCCCTTCATGCGTCCTTCTGGGTGGTGATGTCCGCCTCTGGGTCTGTCGCTTTATTTGTCTCCCTTCATTTGTCTCCCTGCATGTGTCCTTCTGGGTGGTGGTGTCCGGCTCTCCGGGTCTCTCGCTTTATTTGTCTCCCTTCATTTGTCTCCCTTCATGTGTCCTTCTGGGTGGTGGTGTCCGGCTCTCTGGATCTCTCGCTGTATTTGTCTCCATTCATGTGTCCTTCTGGGTGGTGGTGTCCGCCTCTCTGGGTCTGTCGCTTTATTTGTCTCCCTTCATTTGTCTCCCTTCATGTGTCCTTCTGGGTGGTGGTGTCCGGCTCTCCGGGTCTCTCGCTTTATTTGTCTCCCTTCATTTGTCTCCCTTCATGTGTCCTTCTGTGTGGTGGTGTCCGCCTCTCCGGGTCTATCGCTTTATACTTTGCTTAGAGCATATTGTTCCCCAATATGACTTTGCATTACTAAACTATATCTACCACATCTTATGTTGTTTGCTTGCTTTGAGACGTTTGATGTGTTTGAAGCGGTGCCGGTGCTTTTTATTTCAATTATGGAAGCTCAAGGAGCAATCTTGCTTTGACAGGAACTAAATCGGAAACGGTTTTCATTAACTAGCAGTTGCTTTCGCATATGGCGCTGAAGGAGTCAAGGAAAGGAAAATTCAAACTTGCAAGTCGACCATGCTGCAGCCTTTTTTGACCGGTGCGGTGGCAATCGGGAGCCCAGGCTGCCAATCGAATCTTTCATGGCATACTGGCTGCATTTTCCCTGAGCAGATGCTTGTTTGATAGTTATCAGAAAATGTTTTTACTTTTACGTTTCTTTCAAAAATTCACAGCTTGCAGGTCATGGCAGCTCGACTTCTTTTGGTTATTGCCATCTTGCCATGTGGCAATTCGTCCTAAACTTATTACCACAACTGCACCAAAAGAGGAATCAGATGTGATGACAGAGTTGCATGTTTGTACCAAATTCGCTTCGCTTTATGGGGGGGTCAGGGCGCCCAATAAATGGAGCGAAAGAGGGAGGAGAGAACAGAGAGAAGAGAGACACAGAGGAGACAAAGTTGAAAAGACAAATTGAAAATGTTGATGTTGAAACGCGTTCCACCGAACAACAGATTGAAAATGTTGATGTTAAAACGCATCCCACTGAACGACAGGTTGATAAGGTTGATTTTGAAACACGTCCCACTGAACTACAAGTTGAGACTGTTCATGTTGAAACCCGTCCGACCGAACGACAAGTTGAGACGGTTGATGTTGAAACGCGTCGCACCGAACGACAAGTTGAAAATGTTGATGCTGAAACGCGCCCCTCTGAACGGCAAGTTGGGAATGTTGATGTTGAAACATGTCCCACCGAATGACAAATTGAAAATTTTCATGTTGAAACGTGTCGCGCTGAAGGACACGTTGAACAGGTTGACGTTCAAACGCGTCCCACTGAACGACAAGTTGAGACGGTTGATGTTGAAACGCGTCCCACCGAACGACAAATTGAACATGTTGATGTTGAAACGCGCCCCTCCGAACGGCAAGTTGAGAATGTTGATGTTGAAACACGTCCCACCGGATGACAAATTGCAAATTTTCATGTTGAAACGTGTCGCGCTGAACGACACGTTGAACATGTTGATGTTGAAATGCGTCACATGTTCATGTTGAAACACGTCCGACCGAACGACAACTTGAGACAGTTGATGTTGAAACGCGTCCCACCGAACGACAAGTTGAAAATGTTGATGTTGAAACGCGCCCCTTCGAACAACAAGTTGACAATGTTGATGTTGAAACACGTCCCACCGAATGACAAATTGAAAATTTTCATGTTGAAACGTGTCGCACTGAACGACAGGTTGAACAGGTTGATGTTGAAACACGTCCCACTGAACGACAAGTTGAGACGGTTGATGTTGAAACGCGTCCCACCGAACGACAAATTGAACATGTTGATGTTGAAACGCGCCCCTCCGAACGGCAAGTTGAGAATGCTGATGTTGAAACACGTCCCACCGAATGACAAGTTGCAAATTTTCATGTTGAAACGTGTCGCACTGAACGACAGGTTGAACATGTTCATGTTGAAACGCGTCCCACTGAACGACAAATTGAGAAAATTGATGTTGAAACGCGTCCCACGGCATGACAAGTTGAAAATCTTCATGTTGAAACGCGCCTCACCGAACGGCAAGTTGAACATGTTGATGTTGAAACGCGTCCCACCGAATGAGGAGTTGAAAATTGCCATGTTGAAACGCGGCGCACTGAACGACCAATTAAAAAGGTTCATGTTAAAACACGCCCACTGAACAACAAGTTGAGACGGTTGATGTTGAAACGCGTTCCTTTGAACGACAAGTGGGAAATGTTGATGTTAAACCGCGTCCCACTGAACGAAAGGTTGAAAATGTTGATGTTAAAATGCGTGCCATTGAACGACAGGTTGAACATGTTGATGTTAAAATGCGTCCCACCGATCGACAGGTTGAAAATGTTCACGTTGAAATGGTTGAAAATGTTGATGTTGAAACGCGTCTCGCGGAACGACAGGTTGAAAATGTTCATGTTGAAACGCGTTCCACTGAACGACAAGTGGAAAATGTTGATGTTAAACGCGTCCGACTGAGCGACAGGTTGAATATGTTGATGTTAAAATGCGTGCCTCTGAACGTCGAGTTGAATGTTGATGTTAAAATGCGTGCCACCGAACGACAAGTTCAAAATGTTGATGTTGAAATGCGTCACACTGAACGACAGGTTGAAAATGTTCATGTTGAAACGCCTTCCACTGAACGACACGTTGAGAAAGTTGATGTTGAAACGCGTCCCACGGCACGACAAGTTGAAAATTTTCATGTTGAAACGCGCCCCACTGATCGGCAGGTTGAACATGTTGATCCTGAAACGCGCCCCACTGAAGAACGAACTGAAAATTTGCATGTTGAAACGCGTCGCACTGCACGACAAGTTGAGACGGTTGATGTTGAAACGCGTCCCACTGAACGACAGGTTGACAATGTTCACATTGAAACGCGTCCCGCGGAACGACACGTTGAGAAGGTTTATCTAAAAACGCGGCCCACTGAACGACAAGTTTAAGATGGCAATAGCTTTACGAACAAATGAACGACATGGCTTTGAACAACATTGGCTGCTGAAAACAGAAGACCATATTTTACTACATATACACCGATATTTCGTGAAGAACACACGGCTAGCCTACCAAATATACAGCAATGTTTAGCAAAGATTGAACGATTGAGTTTTACCAAACATGCGACAATGTTTTTTGAAAATTCTACCAATTCTACATCAACATTTCGTAAGGCAGAAGTGTAAACTTGAAGGCGCGCAGGCGCAGCAATTGAGTAAACTTGGCGGTTGGCAAGCGCAGTGATTGACTGCAAAGTATTGCCGTCCTAAACCTGGAAGATGGCAGGCGCAGTCTTTGAGAAACAACTATGGCCATCTTAAACGTTCAAGTGTGGCAGGGGCAGTGTTTGAGAAGCACGTATGAACATCTTAAATGTCGAAGTGTGGAAGGGGCAGTGTTTGAGAAGCAACAATAGCTATCTTAAACGTTGAAGTGTGGCAGGGGCAGTGTTTGAGTAGCAATTATGGGCATCTTAAATTTGAAGAGTGGCAGAGGCAGTTTTTCAGAAACAAATCTGGCCATCTTAAACATCGACGTCTGGCAGGGGCAGTGTTTGAAAAGCAACTATAGCCATCTTAAACGTTAAAGTGTGGGAGGGGCAGTGTTTGAGAAGCATTTTGGAAAATATGGCATGGTATTTTCAAGAGGCAACGTACTATATTTTCTACACTACAGTCGTGTATTCTTCATGTCATACTGCGGTATCTTTCTTAGACTCTGGCATTATGTTTTTCAGACTATCGCCATTTTAAAAATTGAAATCTGGCAGTGGCAGTGTTTGAGAAGCACCTATGGGTTTCTAAACGTTGAAGTGTGGCAGGGACGTGTCTGAGCATCTTAAGCGTTGAAGTGTGGCAGGGGCAGCGTTTGAGAAGCAACTATGGCTATCTTAAGGTTGAAGAGTGGCAGGGGCAGTGTTTGAGAACCAGCCGTCGTGCATTTTGTATCAAATGCTGCTGTCTATTTGTGCAATGATATTATATTACGGCAAAACATGTTGTATCTTTGCTACAATACGCTTGTCTGTTTTTTGCGAAACACTGACGTATATTTGCTACAATATAGTATTGTAGTTTGAACAAGTAGTGGTGTATATTTGATAAAATGCACTTGTGTATTCTTTGCGAAATACTGCTCTATATTTTGGAAAATATGGCATTGTATTTTCAACAGGCATTGTACTATATTTTCTGCAATACAGTCGTGTATTCTTCATGTCATACTGCGGTATCTTTCGTAGACTCTGGCATTATGTTTTTCAGACTATCGCCATTTTAAAAATTGAAATCTGGCAGTGGCAGTGTTTGAGAAGCAATTATGGGTTTCTAAACTTTGAAGTGTGGCAGGGACGTGTCTGAGCATCTTAAGCGTTGAAGTGAGGCAGGGGCAGTGTTTGAGAAGCAACTATGGCTATCTTAAGGTTGAAGAGTGGCAGGCGCAGTGTTTGAGAACCAGCCGTCGTGCATTTTGCATCCAATGCTGCTGTCTATTAGTACAATATGGCATTATTTTTCCGGCAGGAAATGTTGTATCTTTGCTACAATACGCTTGTCTGTTTTTTGCGAAACACTGACGTATATTTGCTACAATATAGTATTGTAGTTTGAACAAGTAGTGGTGTATATTTGATAAAATGCACTTGTGTATTCTTTGCGAAATACTCCTCTATATTTTGGAAAATATGGCATTGTATTTTCAACAGGCATTGTACTATATTTTCTACAATACAGTGGTGTATTCTTCATGTCATACTGCGGTATCTTTCGTAGACTTTGGCAGTATGTTTTTCAGACTATCGCCATTTTAAAAATTAAAATCTCGCAGTGGCAGTGTTTGAGAAGCAATTATGGGTTTCTAAACGTTGAAGTGTGGCAGGGAAGTGTCGTGCTGGTGTATATTTGGTACAATATAACCTTATATTTTCGGCAAGAAATGTTGTCTCTTTGCTACAATACATTTGTTTTTTGGCAAAACACTGACGTATATTTGCTACAATATGGTATTGTAGTTTGAAGAAGCAATGGTGTATATTTGGTAGAATGCGCTTGTGTGTCCTTTGCAAAATACTGCTCTTTATTTTGCGAAATATGCTGTAGTTTGTAAAATATGCTGTGGTATTTTCAAGAGGCAATGTACATGTTGTCTACAATACAATCGTGTATTATTCATAACATTCTGCGGTATCTTTCGTAGACTCTGGCATTATATTTCCCAGACTATGGCCATTTAAAAAATTGAAGTCTGGCAGTGGCAGTCTTTGAGAAGCAATTATGGGTTTCTAAACGTTGAAGTGTGGCAGGGACGTGTCTGAGCATCTTAAGCGTTGAAGTGAGGCAGGGGCAGTGTTTGAGAACCAACCATGGCCATCTCAAGCTAGCTTTTTCTCCAAGAGCGCAAAAACTGCAAAAACATCGTCAAAGCGGAAACGCACAGCAAGGAAACACGGAGCATGAGCTTGTTTCCATGCATGGTGTGGAATGAAAATGGTGGGAATCCAACGGCAAGTGGGCAGAAATGCCAGTTGAAGATTTGAATTAAAAATTTCCATGTCAGAATCAGAATGTATCAGAGAGCATGTTTGATATGTAATTCGACCGGAAAGCGAATTCCAGGATATTGTTGGTGCCAAGACGGTGGAAAGCCCTGGGCTTGGCAAGATTTCTTGATCTGATTGCCTCATTTCCAACCGTGTTCGATTGATTGATTTGCCGTGACAACATCGCTGGTGCCATTGTTTGATTCCGTCTCAGCCATTTTGTGGCGCAATTTTCAGTTGGGTGATCGCATTGCAGTACATCCAAGAACATCCTTGATATTTGCTTGAAAACATGGCGGCATGAAGTTGCGCAAGTGACAACATCATGTGGTAACTTTCTCACACCTAAGCGCGCTAGTCACAATCACCCCTACAGCGTCGAAGCAGCTCTGCAACAGTTTTTTTGCGGCAACAACATCTGTCAACTTGTTGACAACAATGTTTGCGATCATGGCTGCCGCGCCGAAGCAGCTGAGACCGCTATTTCGTCCTTCTGTGAAAATAAAGTTCCAAGAGTCGAATCCAAAAAATGCGGGCAGTCAAGCTTTTCGACGTTTTCAAGGATATCGCGTGGCTACAACAATCAAGGAAGCCCATGACCTTGGTGCAAAACCTTGCGATCTACGACATGACTGGACACTTGGTTACATGAAAGTCGAGGCTTGCTGGTTGCAGTTGCACAGTTTGTTGGGCATCTACGCAGCATTGCTTGCTGAGACGGATTTTTGCATCTGAATTGTCAATTCTATTTTGTTCTGTTTCCGGCAGGACGGCGAAGCAGTTGAGATGTGCGAAGTCATTCCATACCGAAAGAAAAGAAAGGACAGGTTCAACCAAACCATTTTGTGATCTTGCGACAAGACTCTCATAGTTTTTGAATTTGTCATTAATACTTGCAGGCCTCATGAAAAACAGATGCTAATGTTTCAGTTTTATCTCTGGGCACATACGCATGGTTTCGATTCTTTGTGTGGCGCAAATGCTTTGTGTTCGCAGGATTCCGTTGGAGATATTGATCCTAAGCACGGGCCACAGGACACTTCATGAAAAACAGGTGCTAATCCTTGAGTTGTGATGTGTGGGCACATACGCATGGTTCTGATTCTTTGTGTGGCGCCGACGTTTTTTCTTCGCAGGATTCCATTGGAGATATTGTTCCTGAACACAAACCAAAGGACACCTGATGAAAAACAAATCTTAATGTTTGATTTTTTGTGTGTCGGCACATACGCATGCTTTTGATTTTTGTCTGATACCGATGATTTTCCTTTTGCAGGATTGCATTGACCTTGATCCTCCTCGTATGTTACCATTGGTGCAAGCGCAGTTCTCAGCTTTGCAGTTATGAAGGTTCCAAGCAAACGTGAAATAATTTAGCGGAGTCTTCAATTTGGCATTCACAAATTGAATTCACTTGTATTCCAGTCAGGCTTCTGCAGAGCGAGTGCAGTTAGGTCATGCGCATGAGGCGCGCAAGATGCATTGTTGGAGAAAACAATTATCGAAGACAAACACCGCTTGGTATTTGCAACAACTTTCTGGAGAAGAAAAATATCGAACACAAACACCGCTTGGTATTTGCAAAAACTTTCTGGCAGGCATGCGTGCCGGAAGTGAGCCCCAAAAGTGAGAGCAGTGCACGTCGGCATGGACCTGGAAAGACGAAAAGAAAATTGTACAGTATTAAAGGCAAACAACAGCGCAGCATTCATGTGTATATGTTGAAATGTTTCCGTGGAAAACTATCATTGGATAGATCATTGAAACTCCGAATCTTTGCTGCGGCGCTAGCTTTGTTGGATAAGCTTAGCGAAGCATTGTTGGCTCGCATGCCGGAACATCACATCATGGCAGCTGCATTGTTGAATTGCGCATTTGGTTTGGAAGGGCTGCGAGACAATGAAACACATCAGGCAGCAGAACTTTGTTGTCGGATGCGTTTAGGGGTGGCATTGCAAAAAGGCAGTGCGGAGAGACAGACGTTTGCGTTGTACAAAGCTCAGATTGTACAGGGTGTCTGTAATGATCGGGGAATGTGAAGCTGGTGGTAGCAACACATGGTAAGTGGATATGGTTTTAACGAGCCATCAAACGTCAGCATGCAGCACACACACACACATGACCTGGGGTTTGACACCGTGGTGTCAAAGAAAACCGCTGGGACTGCACCGGCACCGTGATGTCAAAGAAAATCCCTGGATTTGCAAAGGGAAAAACTGCGAACTTCGGAAGGTTGAAGCTGTTTTCATTGTTTTTGCAGCTCAATCACTTCAGAGATTTCATATTCTTTCAACTTTTGAGAAGCTTTTGAAGTGACTTGTGGCTCTGAGACCTTGCAAGCGAGCGGTGTGATGTCGTGGTAATGATTTCATTGCGTGCAATTTGCTTGTACTTGCCTCCCTGTTTGTTTTCTAAGGCTGTTCACCAACGCTTGAAGAGTTTTGAGGATTGTGCTACAGGCCGCCTGGTTATTTTTGGCTTGTGTCCTTCGATCAGTGGTGGCAGCAAGTGCTTAACAGTGAAGATGGAGACACTTTTGTCTTTGGGGCCGGGCCATTTGGATCAGAATCTCGCTTAACAGTGCGGATGGAGACACTTTTGTTTTTGGGGCCATTTGTATCAGAATCTCACAAATGAATGTGGTTGTCAGCATAGTATGCGAGCCAAACATTTGAGTACGAACAATGGTATGTTTGGATTCATCAATAAATTACTTGCTACAAATCTGCAGTCCGCCATGGCAGCGCGAGTGCGCAGTTCGTTTCTTTGTATATTCTGATGCAAGGTTTGAAATGTTTAGTGATCAACCTGGAACGTGATGAAAATCGCCTGTCCAGCATTAAAAGTGTGATGGGCACACTAGGGTGTAAAAAAAATCAACGAATACCTGCAATTGACGGGCGTGCTCTTTTACTTGGAGGTGGTCGTGCAAGAAAGATTGGAGCAATGAAATGGCGGCTTACCTATGACGCTTATGACATTCCTGGTGGAAGGACAACTCATGTGATCCGACCTGGCCATTTGAGTAAAGTTGGTGCAACCGACATGTGGTCTCAACATGGTTGCGCAATGTCGCGCAAAAATGCCCTGTTGACTGTTTCAGCTTCGATCGACAAGTGTGGTTATATCCTTGTCTTGGAAGATGATGCAATGCAGGGGAAAATTTGTCCAAGTGGACCCAAGTTTCTCGGTGAACTGCGGTTTGCACAAAGTTGACACGGACTTATCCACCATGGACAGCATTATTGCTTGGTGGTGTACCCATCAATAACTACGGCATGCGAAACGCAGAGTCACTTGTTCCAGGAGTTCACCATGCCGATCGCGTTCTGCAAGCGCACGCTATCTTGTGGAGAGCAAGTCAGCAAACAGTTCCTGTGATTGAAGCAATTTTGGAAAAGCTTCGTTCCGATCTTGTTGCGGATAACGCGATTGCCGGAGCCATGGTGAAATTTTCGGAGGCCTCAGCATTTTTCTTTTTGAAACCTGGCTGGCTGGTTCAGCGAACTGATTTGCCGTCCAAACTGCAGCTCACAGGAAGCCAAGGCGGATCTCAAGGGTATCAACAGGCTTGGGCGAAAATGAAGAGGACATCAGCAAGAGCGCAAAACGTGGCTGCCAGAAAAGCCCTTCCGGCTAATGTCAAACGAGCCCTGGGACCAAACAGACGAGGATGCAAACCCATCAAAAAACAGACTTTGAAAAATCAACGGCAATGTCACGGCAGCAAAGGAGGCAAGCGTGCAGCTGGAAATGGATCGTCAGAGTCATTGATCAAGAAGAAGATCAATAGCATGTTGCGATGGTATCGTACTCATGATGAGTGGCCGCCAAAGCGGCTGGCATGTGAGAAGTGGAGAGTGTCAGCAGCCCTCTGGAGTCGGGCGAAGCGGGAAAACTTGTGATATACGCTCCTGATGGAGCCGTGTCATTGCTTTCTCGTTTTTGGATGATGTCTATGCTCATGATGAGGTTCTTTCCCCTGTGACTACCTAGCTCATTGGCCATGTGTGTTAGTTTTCTTCGGTCAGATTTTGACAGCGCACACGTGATGCAAAACTTAGCCGTTGCTTACAAGTGCTCATTCCGCATGCTTGAAAATTTGTGTGCGCTGTTGATGGGCGTGTGAACTTTAGACACAAATCAACGGACAAACGCTTTTGGCCAAACTTTGGTGCATTCTGTTGGATGCGTTTGCAGACTTCTTTTTTCTCATTCGCAGGCAGCGCATTGTTCGCGCGGGCCTCAACTCAAAAAAGAAAGTATGCTGCTGAAGGATTCAGTTTTTATTTTTGTGGTGGCTGGTTATTTCACAACCCCTGGGATGGATTGGAAAGCAAGCAGTTTTTTGATTTTATTTCAACGGTTTTATTAAAAAATCCATCACTGGAAGGAGGAGCGACCCGCTCGGCATGTGCAACTTTAATGCATACTCCTTCCAGTGATGGTGACGGATTTGATTTAAAGTGTGCACTCGGGTTCGTGGGTTCTATGGTTAAACAATCTAATTTTCCGTTCGTCACCTTCTCGGTTCTTCCACTTGGTAGTGAGGGGTTCATGGAAAGGTGGCAGTGGATGATGAGGGGAGCGAAAGGAGAAATAAGCATACCCTCACATTCAATGTCATCCTTTTTTATTCTACATTTTTTTTTAAGGCAACAGCCGCACCCGCCAACTTCAACCATCAACGACGTGGGTGAAGTTCCCAGCAACAACAAGCAATGACAAGCAATGACAACACTGGTATAAAAATCTATGAGAGATACGGACAGAAAAATCTATGAAAAGGAAATAGTGAAGTGCTTGCAAAGGTTGAATACCTGGGGCCTGAGTTTCATGAACATGAAATAGCACAAGATGAAAACCTGGGGCCTGAATTTCATGAGTTCCACTCTGGAATGGCAGAAATGTCACGCACTGGTTTTCATTGGTTGCAGTTTGTACCTCAGACACCAATTATATTGAAGGATTCTAGCCCCCACTATGGGGTAAAAACTCCGGAGCCTGCTTGAAGTGCTGCTCCATCGGGAAGATATTTCCAATTTCACCGAATGCTATGATGCGCGGTTTGGTTGATAAATGCATCCAGTATACCACATGGCTTCGTGGCATGTATTTTTTCCTAAGCTCAGTGACGCAATGAGGCTGGAAAGGAGATTCTGCAATCAATTGGAGGCGGTGTTTTTTCTCTCAAATGTTTTGCTTGGCATGGATTCGGTTGTCAAGTCTTAGCCATATCTTTGTGTTATAGCGGGACAATGAACAAAAACAACCAAATTATGGAGATCCGTTGTTTTTGTTTGTGGGTAACATGACAGGATTTTGGCAACGTAATGTTGCTATGATAAATGAAGTCCAGCATTGTCTTCCGATTCACAGACTCCTTAGAGAGCAGCAGGCAAAAAGAAAACATCTTCAAAATCCATTGCAAGGAGACTCATACATGATTGATGAGTATGGACTCTCAGAGATTTGCTTCAGCGAGTGACATGATATTTCCAATGTGTGCCGAATATTATCATGCGCGATTTTGCGGATAAATGCAACCAGTATACTACATGGATTTGTGGCATTTTTTTATCAACTCAGTGACGCAATGAGGCTGGAAAGGACATTCTGCAATGAATTGGAGGCGGTGTTTTTTCTCTCAAATGTTTGCTTGGCATGGATTCGGTTGTCAAGTTTTAGCAGCAGCTTTGTGTTGCAGTGGGACAATAAGCAAAACCACCAAACCATGGAGATCCATTCTCTTGGCCTGGTGCATGCACGAAGCAATTTCCATGTTGGATCTTTGCGGTGGCATTTTCTTTACGATGATTTTTGCACTTTCTATCATACAGATGGCAGCCATTTAAAAATTGACGAGTCCTTCTCGGTCTCAACTGTTTTATCGCCGGCAGGTTGTTGCTTTCGTGGCTCTATGTGCTGCCCGCTTTCACTGCGAGGATTGCTGGTTCAACAGCCGTCATTGAGTATGCTTGTTGTGCAGCAATGTACGTGACATGATATGCGCAAAGGGTTTGGTTTTTGATCACTTTTTCCATTTGGTGCTGGTTGCCTTGTCATCTCTTGTCGTTGCTCTGAGCAGTGGAGCATGATGGTTGTGACGCACTCTGCTCAAGAGATTGAAGGTTCCTCCACCGTGGTGTTTGATCAGATGGCTTCCTCTGCTGTGAGTACCAAGCTGAACCACCTGCGAGCTGATGTGGTGGGCAAAGTGGTTCTTGAGCTTCGGATCTTTGGGCCGACAGTGATGACCAACTTGCCCGGCAGGAGCGGCACCACCTGGTCCAAATGCCAGTGCACTGCGCTGGATGGATCAGGGCAGACGGCCCTCCTTCGAAGGAGCTTCTTTGGCAATGACCAGGGTGATCAACTCAAGGCTTGGAATGCCCAGTACATGGATGGCAGTGTGTTCAGTTTCAAAGGCTTGAAGGGAGCGAAGGCAGACAAGCGCTTCTCCAGCTGTACGTCCCCTGTTGAACTCGAGGTGACGGACAAGACAGTGATCACGCCGGCGGAATCCAGCAACATTCCTTGGAGGCCTGCAATTTCTTTTGGCATTGCCGAAGTGCTGGCGAAGGATTCCGATGGTCGTGTAGATTTGCTTGGCTACTTGGTCTTGCTTGGGTGTTTATGTGCTTGACCCCGGAAATCTGACGAGTCGTTCTTTTGAGAATCTTGCGTTCAAAACACTTTGTTTGATGATTCCGTCCTTCAAAGCACTTGGTTTGATGTAAGGAGTCTGCACCAATGTCACCCCTTTGGAACAGAAGACTTGCAAAAACAAGCTTGGCGGTGAGTTCCAACGCTCTTTGTGCAAAGTCACTTTGCTGGATGACAGTGCTACTGACTGTGTGCTGACCTGCTGGGGAGAATGTGCAGAAGCACTTGTGGCAAAGGTGAGGCCGAAAAGCGTGGTGGCTTTCTACAGAGTTCGTTTGCAAGTTCATTCTGGCGGCGGCAAGTCATTGTCGATCAGTGAGGACTCCTACTACATTGTCTTAGACAAGCCCGATAACATCAGTGCCCGGGAGGACAATGTGATCTATAAGGCTCAGACGTTCTTGGATGCTGGTGCTTCGCAGACGGCCACATCATATGAAGGTGGTGCTGATGTGAGTGGAACCTTGAGAGTGGTGCCAGTTCGGGCTTTGGCTTTGGCAGCTGGTTTGACCAGACAGTTTGAGGACGCTGCTTGGCAAGTTGATGTGGCCACTTGGGAGCTTGAAGGTGTCGAGGATGCAGACCAGCTATGCAACCGGCAGGGAAAATTGTGGGCCAAGGTGGTTTTGAGAGATCCAAGTGGGGAGGCACGCCTATTCGCTCCCGAAGAGGCGTTGCTGGGCTTGACTTCATGCAATGATCGTGATGAGTTCTTGAAGTTGTTCAAGGAGGATGCCTTAACCAAGAAGCGGGCGCAGTGTCGTGTTCACCGTAGCCTGCGAGATGGGTACGCCAACTTACACATGTTGCAGGGTGTTCCCATCTTTACTCTGTCCACCCCGGCTCAGAAAATGTGGCTCGGCAGTTCGGACTATGTTGCTCCAAGAAGCATCTGTGTTTTGTTTTGTCCCGCTGATATGCCTAGGTACGAAGATGCAGCTTTTTCTGATGCCTCGTCCTGTGTGCCCGCGACCTTGAGCAGTCTGTCGCCCAATTCTTGCGGAGGTGGCCTGAAGATCAATGTCATGTCTCGAAGCTTTGAGCCTTAGCTTCCAAGCTGGAATGCTGCTTTAGATTTGTGTTGTGACGGTTGTCGAAAATGGGCTCTTTGGATTACTGATCCGTGACAGCCTTGAACTTTGACAACCTTGGCAAGTGTCTCCGCGTTGACAATGTAACCCTGACATTGTTTGTTTGCATTTGCCTTTGGGACCCCAACAAAGCCACGCCATTGGTTCTCTTTTCGCACTGACCTCTTAACACTTCACTTCATCGCTGCTTGCTTTTTCGTTTGTTACAGACCTACTCCAATCCTAACTCGAGCGGCGAAATTCGCAGGAGGAGCTGGGCAACGTGAGCGCCACCGGCTACTATACTACTACTACTACTACTAGTACTACTACTACTACTACTACAATTACTACAATTACTACAATTACTACAATTACTACAATTACTACTACTAGTACTAGTACTAGTACTACTACTACTACTACTACTACTACTAGTACTAGTACTAGTACTAGTACTAGTACTAGTACTACTACTACTACTACTACCACTACCACTACTACTACTACTACTGCTGCTACTGCTACTGCTACTGCTGCTGCTGCTGCTACTGCTACTGCTACTGCTACTGCTACTGCTACTGCTACTGCTACTGCTACTGCTACTGCTGCTACTACTGCTACTACTGCTACTACTGCTACTACTGCTACTACTGGCTACTACTGCTACTACTGCTACTACTGCTACTACTGCTACTACTGCTACTACTGCTACTACTGCTACTACTGCTACTACTGCTACTACTGCTACTACCACAACAACTACTACTAGTACTAGTACTAGTACTACTACTACTACTTCTACTACTTCTACTACTACTACTACTACTAGTCCTCATTCTTTTCTTTTATTAACTACTGTAATCAATAGACTTATGTGTTTTTCTTTTATTTGATTGATAGATTTACTTGATTGAAGGGAACATCTACGGGAAACCATCGATTTGTATAGCTTCACGCTGTAGAGTTTCACAAAACCAAGTCTGGGATTGATGATGTTTTCAAATACTCTTCAAGCTCAGGGTAGTTGTTTGAGATGAGTTGAAACATGTTGAATCCACCAAGGGGAGAACTGATCTTAAACTAAGCTTCCCTTGACCCAATGTCATTGTTTGAAAACCAACCTTTTCCACTCAGCCCCAAGGAAAGCCCTGTGGTGGTGTTGAAGCAAAGCAGGGAGGGCGAGCAGCGCTTACGATACGTGCTACAGCAACTGGTCTCAATGGATGCTTTTGGGATGTCCATGTCCCATTGAAGCATTGAACTGTCCCATTGGAAGTATGGTATCCAACAGCCACCTGAAGGTGTTGTTGAACATGTCATAAAATGGGGGTGCATTATTTCAGCACATGTAGCATATTTCATCATGATTTCCCAAATATTTGACTCTGGGTTCTCTCCGGATTTAGTGGGATGTACTCAATCCTCCCATCGATTGGCCAAAAGTCTCACCATGTTCTACATGTTTAATCCCCATCTGCCCTTCCATCAAGAACTAAAATGTTCTCAAATTGGTTTCGCTGTGGAAGTTACAGGACATATCTCACTCACATACCAATCTATATTTTGGTTATATCTTCACAAAGTTCTCCTGACTTTGTTCCTCAACAAAATCTACATGTTGGAAATTAGAAACCCATGGTTCAGCCATCAAAACCCATATATTTCCAGCCAACAAACCTCAACAAACCTATGTATATATATATATAAATACAGATACATAGATATAAACGGGTCAACCAAAAAAACCGAACCCATCAGTTTCCACACGTTTCCTACATGTTTTTTCCCATCCAAAAGCGGCCCATCCCCGTTTTAGGAGCGACGCCATGGACGCCGACGCCCGCAGCGCCGCCGGCGACGGCGCGGGACCCGAGGTCTCGGCGGCCTCCAAGGCGCGGGCGCTCTACGTGGCGCTGCGACAGCTGGTGGCGAACGATGTTTGGAGTGTGGAGAGGTGCCTACCCTCTGGTAAACTAACATAGCTATTGAAAATGGCCAGTTATAGTGAGTTTTCCCATTAAAAATTGTGATTTTCCATAGCTATGTTAGTTTACCAGAGGGTATGGGTGGTTTGGGGGGATTAGGCCATGACAGTGGAGATAAACCATGATAATTATGGAATATCCCCCATGAGATATGTTTTTTGTTCATAAATGGAAATACTCCATTTTAGGAAAACTACATCTGGTTTCCATTAACTATGATAATGTGGGTAAAGCAATGCCATTTGCACCATCCCCCAGTCATCAGCATTTTATAGGTGGGATTCAAACCATTCCCAATCATGGGTGGTAAACATGGAAATGGAGATAAACCATGATATTTTTTGGCATGGTTAACTAATGTTAAGTATCAGAATATGGAAATAGCTATGATAGTGATGGTGCAGTTGGAGGTAACTAGTCATGGAGGTTTCCATTTTGTCACCCCCAAATCATCCAAGTCATGGATGACCATGAATTAGAAAACCTATGGTGACTTGGGGATCCCCTATTTTAAGAACCCCCCATATGGAAATAACGATGGCAGTGGTAATGTTAGTAGAGCAATAACAAAGCATCCCCAAATTGACCATTTTTCTGGATGGTATAAACCACCAACATATGGGTGGAAACAACTATGGCAGTAGAGATATGGAAATCCCAGGGATTTCTGGGTAAAATGGGCAAGGATGGGAAACCATTTTTTGAACGGTTGATCGATTCTTGAGGCAACGTTATGAAAATTTGGAACCCAGTGATCAGAAATCAGCTCCACACAAAATGAAAAATGGTGGTTTCACCATGAACCATTGGGACTTATGACAGCATTTAACCAATGATGAATGGATTCAGAAACTCAGTTTTGTGAGTATGATGGTTCCCCGGATTACCCCCAAAGATAGTGATAAATGAATATAACCCTTTGGTAAACTAACGTAACTATGGAAAATCACCATATTTAATGGGTAAATCCACTATAAATAGCCATTTTCAATAGCTATGTTAGTTTACCAGAGGGTAAAATTGGTCCCTTCCCATGAGTAAACTGATGGTTTATTCATCCTGGCTTCACATTCTGGGTGTGTGGTGTGTGTAGACATAGGGCATATAGGGCATGCCACAAAATTGCCACATCAATTGGGAAGATAAATCATCAACCTTGGTTTTCGGGATGCCCTAGGTTGGGAATGTGGTGACCATTTGGGCAAAAGACAGAGGGATGATGGGGATAGGACCCAATTTCTGGGCGATGTCTTGGGCGATTTTTCCGCAAAATTAGACGAAACTATCTAGTATCCCCATAACTCGAAGGTTGTCCCCATTGATTGAAACCAGATGATTGCTGGTTCACCATTATTGTGTTGTGTTTATCCTCATGATATCCCTATAAGCCCGAATAAATATGGCTTGACCCGTTGTTAGTTGATAGACGTTGATAGCGTCATACCTGAAATCCCATGACATCCCCACTGATGGTTGAAAAGCTGGTTGGTTTCAAAAACCACCATCTTTGTTGATGAAATGGGCATTAAGATCGCCATAGTTATAGGCTAAAGACAGAGATGTTCAATGAATTACACACACACACCATTTTTACATATTGTTATACCATTCATAGCCATTTATGGAGTTGGTCAGCCACTCCCCATGAAGCGACGTGTTGATTCCGTCATGCTTCGCCATGTGCCAGGTCCGCCAACTCAATGGACAACGACTGGGACGCGCGGACGCCGAAGCTGGAGACGCCCAAATACCAGGCGTAGCGAGGGCCGCTGGGAGCAACCAGCTGGACATCGACTGGGAAAATGGTGGGTTTAATGAGGAGAACAGCATGAAAATAAGATGGGAAAGACCTTCTCATCCAAGGATGTTCTTTTGGAAAAATGGGGAAATCGTTAAAAACAAACTGTCAATACTGAGTTGACTTGAGTTGGTTTGAACTAAATGTCCATGCTTTTCTTTGTGAGAATGGCTCACAATGTGTGACTCCCCATCTTGGATGGTTGTTTTAGCCGCCCAGCCAGGTTGCAGAAAAGCCGCGCCTTTGACAAACCGCGTAGGAACTCTGCAGTCTGGATATGTACCCCTTTCTCGTTTGAGATCATTTGATTCATCAATATCACTATGCAGATTTCCACATGTTTGGGGATTTTTTTTTGGTACGTTGATTAGGTTTCACCCTAGGCATGACTTAGGCGTGACAGCGTATTTTCGTGTACTATTTTCCTTGTACTATGAATGACATTCTTTTACAGTTTTTAAGTGCTCATCACCTTGGCTCTTGCAGCAATAGCAATGGAGATTTGTTTCCTAGCATCGGGCGAGACGCTCACCTTGTTTGAAGATGAACTGCAAGGCCAAAAAGCGAGGGCAGTAAAGAAAGCCTTGGCAGCAAAGGTTGGCATTTCCAGATTCAAGCAAAGGTTTTTTGTTGAAGACGGTTCGCACGAGATCCAGGATGATGAAGTTCTAGTTCCAGCTCCACTAAAGATCCAGCTGGTGGTCTTGGAATTCTGGCCACTTGATGATGAAGAAACACAGAAAATGATCTCGGCATCCAGGGACGACGACTCAGTTGCTCTTGAACAGTTGCTGCAACAACCACGAAATCCCAACGAGGCAGACACAGATGGCAAGATCCCTTGTTTCACGCTGCAGAGCAGGGACATGTTAAAGTTATGGAGCTGTTGCTAGAGGCAGGAGCAAAGAAAGATGAGCCTGAGTTTGCCCTAGGGCAGACACCAATGCTCACTGCAGCTGAAAATGGCCACCTCGACGTCGTACAGTTTCTGGCAGAAGTTGGGGCAGCCAAAGATCAGGAAGACAACAATGGTGCAACGCCCTTGATGTATGCGGCTCGAAATGGCCACCTTGACGTCGTGCGGTTTCTGGTAGAAGTTGGGGCAGCTAAAGATCAAACAACAAACAGTGGTGAAACGCCCCTTTTCCTTGCAGCTTACGAGGGCCACCTCGACATTGTGCGGTTTCTGGCAGAAGTTGGGGCAGACAAAGATCAAGCCCGAGACAATGTTGCAACGCCCTTGTTGGTTGCAGCTTACAATGGCCACCTCGACGTCGTACGGTTTCTGGCGGAAGTTGGGGCAGCCAAAGATCAAGCAGGAAACGATGGTGCAACGCCTTTGTTGGTTGCAGCTTACAGTGGCCACCTCGACGTCGTACGGTTTCTGGCGGAAGTTGGGGCAGCCAAAGATCAAGCAGGAAACGATGGTGCAATGCCCTTGTTGGTTGCAGCTTACAATGGCCACCTCGACGTCGTGCGGTTTCTGTTGGAAAATGGCGCAGACAAAGACCATTCAGCAGACGATGGTGCAACGCCCTTTTGCAGTGCAGCTGCAAATGACCACCTCCACATTGTGCGGTTTCTGTTGGAAAATGGCGCAGACAAAGATCAAGCAGATAACGGTGGTGGAACGCCCTTGTTGGTTGCATCTCAAAGCGGCCACCTCGACATCGTACGGTTTCTGGTAGTTGAAAATGGCGCAGGCAAAGATCAAGCACAGAACGATGGTGGAACGCCCTTGTTGGTTGCAGCTGAAAATGGCCACCTCGACGTCGTGCGGTTTCTGGCAGAAGTTGGGGCAGCCAAAGATCAAGTCCGAGACGATGGTGCAACGCCCTTGTGGGTTGCACCTCAAAGCGGCCACCTCAACGTCGTGCGGTTTCTGTTGGAAAATGGCGCAGACAAAGATCAAGCACAGCACGATGGTGGAACGCCCTTGTTGGTTGCAGCTGAAAATGGCCACCTCGACGTCGTGCGGTTTCTGGCAGAAGTTGGGGCAGCCAAAGATCAAGCCCGAGACGATGGTGCAACGCCCTTGTGGGTTGCATCTCAAAGCGGCCACCTCAACGTCGTGCGGTTTCTGGTAGAAGTTGGTGCAGCCAAAGATCAAGCAGAAAACGATGGTGCAACGCCCTTGTGGGTTGCATCTCAAAGCGGCCACCTCGACATCGTACGGTTTCTGGTAGAAAACGGCTCAGACAAAGATCAAGGAGATAACCATGGTGCAACGCCCTTGTTGGTTGCTGCTGAAAATGGCCACCTCGACATTGTGCGGTTTCTGGCGGAAGTTGGGGCAGCCAAAGACCAAGCAGGAGACGATGGTGCAACGCCCTTGTGGGTTGCATCTCAAAGCGGCCACCTCGACGTCGTGCGTTTTCTAATTGAAGTCGGTGCAGCCAAAGATCAAGCAGCAAACGATGGTACAACGCCCATTTTCCTTGCAGCTTACGAGGGCCACCTCGACATTGTGCGGATTCTGGTAGAAAACGGTGCGGACAAAGATCAAGCACATAACGAATGTTCAACGCCCTTGTCGGTTGCAGCTCAAAGTGGCCACCTTGACATTCTGCAGTGTCTAGTAGAAGTTGGGGCAGCCAATGGTGCAGCGCCCTTTTTCAGTGCAGCTTTAAATTGATGGATCCACAGATGTTGCGCGCCAAGCGGTCTCAGTCATGATGCCTGGCTGGTAGTTTCAGATTCTTTGCTTCGATCCCTGAGATCAATCCCATTTTGTGCCCAACGGATTGGGGTCAGGTCTTGTCTCGCGATGCACTCTCTGGAGTCGAGGCGGTACGGGAAAGGAACGGGAAGCCTGTTATGAAGCGATCTGGGGATAAGAGCCACCAAGGACACTGCTCAGCTGAAAATAGCTGGATTCGGTGGAAAATGTAAAGCAGTACAGATTTCTGTCACGTGTCTATCAGACATTTGGTTCCATTGATGAGGTTCAATTGTGTCGAAGTGGCTGTGAAATTTCACAGCATCCACTGTTGCGGAAGGGTTCCGAGCACATCTATTCGCGCTGCAGGTGCGAGAATATGCACCTTACGCAGTGGTTCAGACTCAACAAGGCACTCAAGCTCGAGCGCGTTTTCTTGTCGTGAAACTGCTGTCATTTTGACTCATTTTCAACACCTCAAAATGGGACCAGGCCTGTGATTCCCCCAAGGCTTCGAACATCGCAAGATTTCGACTCGAGCATCGCAACATTTTTGGGATGTGAGCTGATGGGCTACACGGTGAAATAACCAGTCAGCATATTTCAACAGCAATCAAATACCCAAGAAGTACTTCTTATTTATATTACTGACAATTACATATATGAAATACATTGAAATACATTGAAATACCAATGATATACCGATATACCCATGAAACACTCATAATTTGCCACAGATTCCTGCCGACCGCTATGCCATCAGGTCCTGAGGTGGCCAACAATCGGTCCTTCTTCATGTGACATGGCGCTGGTGAAGGGGCGGCCTCGTGAAGGGGCGACGTTGGCACGTTGGGGTTGGACCAAGTAAGTGGTTTAACCAGCTGGATGACCAACTGTTATGGATAGATTGGATAACTGGATAACCAACTTGTAGTGGTTATACCAACTCTCCATTGATTATGGATCCACCAGCTGCGAATCCGCATGCCACATCTTCGGTTTGACGATGTTTCGTCACATGTTTCTGTTTTCTGAGGCTAGCAGACTACATCTTTGGGAAGAAGAACGTGCGCAGTGAGAAGATGGCCATGACCACACCAGTGCAGATGGATCGGGGCAGTGGAGCCATGTCGCGACTTGGCGACGCACTGGCGACTTTTTTGCGAAGTCACGCGGAACCCATGGAACAAATGGTTGATGTTTATGGTCATCTCCAATGGAACAAATCATCGTCCAAGCAGCCTTTTTTCTTTGAGGGTTTCATGTAGTTTCCAAATTGTTGCTTGGAATTTTGACCCCAGCCCCCACAGCCATGAAATCCATGGTTTTGCAGCCAACTTTGGCATGCACCCAAAGCCATTAAATGTTTCCCCTGCTCAAAATCTTTCTTGAAACTGTTGGGCTCTACCTTTGGGCTTGTAAGAAACCCAGCAACTGAAGTACAGCCATTACTTAGAGGCCTGTCGCAGGTGATGAAGCAAGTCATCCAGGTAGTGACATGTCTCATTCAACCTTCAGGTTTATCCCTCGCTAAAAAATAGAAACCCCCATGTCTTGTGGCTTACACGTCCAAATTGAAATACAAATATATAATGTTATATAATGTATATACACATCTTGAAAGATCGTGGTCAAAGTGGAACCGACACCCAGAAAAGGTCTCGGGGGAGGTTATATATATATATGTATCAGATCTGTATGTCTACATATATATATATCAGATCTGTATGTCTACATATATATATATATCATATCTGTATGTCTACATATATATATATATCATATCTGTATGTCTACATATATATATATATCATATCTGTATGTATCAGATCTGTATGTCTACATATATATATATATATCATATCTGTATGTCTACATATATATATATATATATCATATCTGTATGTCTACATATATATATATATACATATATATATATATACACATATATATATACATATGTATATATATGATCAATTCTACACATCTTTACGCATAAAACCAGCTTTTCCAGCCCAGGTTCATCATGCCCAGCAAGTACTGGAGCTCCCTGGAGGACGCCCCGTTGCCCGCGGCGAACGCTGGGGTCTCGCTGGAGGAACGTCCGCGGGAGACGCTGGCGGTGTCCATCTTCGGGGGCTATGCCCTGGGGCCAACCGTGGCCAAGAAGTGACCTGCCAGAACCGGTGGCAACATCCAGTAAAAATGGTGAAAAATGATGGTTTAACGATGAAAGAATGGTGATTTGAGGATGAAACATGGGTGTAAGCAGAATGGCGATTCAACTATGAACAGTTGAGATTTTAATGGGGATTTGTCATGAATTAATAGGGGGTGATGGGGTTGAAACTGTCCAACATATGGGGAAATCAGTGATACATGATATTTGGATGGTTATCATACTCCGGGTGGCTTTCTTGAAAAATAAAAGTAATTGGGGTAAACAATAGGGTATATTTCACTAACAATTATCAGAATATTATGGGGATATGTACCTATAATATGGAGATATGCACCTATAATATGGAGATTTAACCTATAGATAATGGTTAATCTTGCTTGATGTTGGTTGATCATTCTTGGAATTGTATGGGGTATACAATGGTGTATATAGTGGTATAAATTTCAAAAAGCCTGCTTGATGCGTTGTTTCATGAGGTTTCGACTAAGCATCATTTATAGGAGTTTTAACCAGCAAACATGAGGGCATAGAATGTATTGATAAATGACGGGAAATACCAGGTAAATCACCTCTACAATTGATTTCAGATAGGAATTGTCAGGGCTCCTACAAGCTATTTGAACATTATGGTGTTATATTACACTTGGGGCTTTGAAATACAAGCAAAATAGGGTTATAAACAGAAACCTTGGAAGAATTTGCGCTTTAAATGGGAGTCATTTCATGTGGTCCCCTGCGCACCCAAAATTTGGACGCCGATGATCATTCTCAGCAGATTTTTTTTGGGGTTTAACACCTAATAATGCAATTTTTTCAGCCACTTTGCTACGCTTTGCGCTTAAAAAACCAGGACTGAGGAGCTGATTGATTTCCTTCAGAAGAGCGACCGCTGGGAAATGGTGACGAACTCCACCAGGCTCATGCAGCGCCTTGAACTGTGGCTAGTGAAGGGTGCGCTAAAAGGCGAAGCTTCGGAAACGCTGTGCCTACGGGAAACGCTAGCCATGTTTTCCTCACCTATCATTTTTAGGAAAAGCCATGAATTAATTCAATGAATCGTGTGTCTTTCTGGGTGGTTGGTACACCGACAACAAAATCGGGGATGGCTTAAGCATTTCTGATAAGTCTCAATGTTTTATCGGGTTTACCAACTTCGTTGTTACTGTAGTTTATATAGTATTCCTATTGCCGTCAAATTGAATAAAATCCCAGTGGGTACGGTCTGTGGATCACACAAGGTACAGGGAAAATCCTCCTCTCACGCCCACTATAATTATTGAAAAAGATGATTTTTCCATTGCAAGGCTTGATTGCTGGCGGGCAATCCCAAGTCAATCCCAATCAAATCTAAATTGCCAAAATTCTTGCAACAAATCAGAGAAAAAATCCCCATATTTGGCTGGTTTCAACATGTTTCAACCAAAAAAATCACCATTTTTGGTGCTATAAATCCCCATCGAAATCCCCAGCTGGTCACCGAGGTACAACGATCCCTTCACGGTGCCATGGAAGCGACGCAACGAGGTCAGCATCCCGGTGAGGGCCAAAGCCTGAAGCCTTCGCCACGCGCCACCTGGAGATGCCATGAGAAAAACCATGAAGAAATGGTGGTTAGTGGTTGAATGATGGGTGAAAGGTGGTTTAATGTTGGTTTAATGGATGTTGAATGGATTTGAACCAGATATTTTAATTAAGAAGCGGTTGAGAGAATGAACTATCGCTTCGCATGATTTTGAGCTGAATGAGTTTCAGTCTGGTTTGAAATTGAGATCTTGTTGATTTGGGAGAAGCTGAGCTGGACACATTGGACCGACCAGTCCACAGCAGAGTTGCACAGTTTTAACCCTGCCTTCGCAGAATCTTTTCCCGCTGTTGACTTAACGGCCTCGCAGTTTTCGCCGCACCGTCTTGTCTCAAAATGTCCAATCGGCACCAAGAGATGAAGTGAGGATATGCCTGGGAAGAAACATTACCAGGTTCAATGGTGAAATTGAAGTCTTAAAATGGACGATGATGGTCTTTTTGCTGAACGTTCTACATAGTGGTAGTAATTCACTGTACAGGAAGTTGGAAGAAACCCTTCAGGTCTTGATGCCTGATTCCGCAAGTCCTCGATCTTGATCTGAAATCGTTGTCTTTGCAAACCTTTTGAGACAAGCCGATGCGCCCCAGACTCATCTTCACGGGAAAATAAAGGAGAGTTGTGCAGCTGGATCCGGTGGGTTTTGTCTGGCTGAAAGCGCAATCTTCGATTTCCAAGGATCCTCAACTTGAAGCCGCCAACCAGCTTAAATACCATGTGGATTTTCCAGTTACCATTTGTAGTCCGAACTCATCATAAAGCAATGACGACTCTAAAATATATCTTTAAACTATATCTAAATATATCTAAATATATCTAAATATATCTAAATATATCTAAATATATTTAAATATATCTAAATATATCTAAATATATCTAAATATATCTAAATATATCTAAATATATCTAAATGATATTCGAATGATCTTTCCACAAGCCTGGACATATCTGAACCTTTGGAGGTTCAGCCGCCCAGGTCCTGCCATGGTGCAGGGAACCCGACCCCTCGGCAGGCCAGAAGGTGCGCCTGCGCATGCCTGCGCACCAGTGGGCCGTTGGAAATGGCCATCAAAGCTGGTGAAAAACATGGGTCGTGATAACAAACATCTGGGTAAATTTCATCACGACCGAACCCTGTTCTCCCGAACCCTGGAAGAATGGTTAGGATTCGGGGAATTATCCCATAACGTGGTCTTATTACAGGTTAGTGAATTATTGTAATTTGCCCATAAATATGGAGATTCAACCATAGGACATGTGATAACATGTGATAACCATAAAACATCAAAGATTTAACTCATGAACCATCACAATTGTGGACTTAAGGATGTTGAAGTTTAATCAACGAACAACGGATATTGAGAAACACTTCAAGATATGGGGAATGTCTTATGGGATATGGAAAACGCTGGAAAATAACGGGATATTATATATATATATCATCAACAATTAATGATATTTGCCTTCAAAATCAGCCAGGATTCACCCAACACAAAAAAGTTTTTATTTTTTAATGGAAAAATTGGTCAATTTAGGACCATTATCCAATGGATTAATCCATTTAATCAATTTTGGTTAATCACTTGTAAATGGATTTCGATGGGATGATGTTTAAACCATTGGATTTTGGGAGCGCCCCAATTTCAGACCCTTGGTTTGAGCCCTTGCGAATACCCAACTGTTGGTTTGTCACGAAAAAGTGGGTCATTCCACCTGGTAAAAATGGGATGTTAGTATATCTCAATAACTCATAATAGAAATGCCTAGTAACGAGTATATAATGGGATGGGTGTGGTTTTCATGGCTCAACTGGCGAATATGGGATTAAACCAGCAAACATGGGGACTTTTTTTGCACCATGAGCATGCGGTTAATAGCTGGTGAACCTGCTCCAACTGTGCTCCAAAATACTGACTCTAATCAACTAATTCTACAGTATCTACAGTATACTGTTGTAGCCAATAGTTACAGTGGTGTTTTTATGACGGGTAAACCTTCGTTAGTGAAGGGAACCCGCTTCATGGGTTTCCATGTGTCAACCATCCAACCTGAGGAACCCATAAACCTTTGATTTGTCATGATGTGTCGCTAATATTTAAGTTCCATAACGGTCCATATCCTTTTCTATCCGCCGTCTCTCAACAAATCCATGTATCACATTGAATATATATATATATATGTATACGTATATACAAACATAGCACCATATATCACTTTATATCACTATAGAACACTATACATGACTATATACGCAATATATCACTATACATCTCCAAGTGAATCCCATGAATTTCCCCCGTTTCTGGACTATGCCGTATGGAGCTGGGTTTCCAGGTGCTTCCGTTGAGGTCGAGGTGCGCGGTGTCAACTGAGCAGTGCGAGCTGTTAAGCTGTTGATATGATTGTGAACACCTATATAATTTTATACTATGTATAGTTGGATTGATTAAATGTATCTCCCAAAATTGATCCATATATATATATAACTGTATATATATAATTGTATGTATATACTTATATATATATATATACATTTGTATATAAATTGTATATATATATATACAGTTATATATATATATTTAATTGTATATATATATACACATAATTCAATAATTGTGTGTATATATATATACATAATTGTATATATATATATAGATACTGATTTGTATCAACAGCTATTATAATATATATTTATTGACATACACCACATGTCATCAATATAATGTGTACATATATAGACATATTGATACCCATGCTAATGTGCTGTATATTTAAACAAACAAATTGACTGCTATCACAATATATATATATATATATGTTTATATTGGATTCATGAAATGTACAATTACGCCATAACTGGACTCCATATTCAGCTGATTTGTCCTGATGGGTTGGCTTCGTTTTTTTTAAATGATGCTTTTGATGGATAGCAGAGTGTACCAGTGGAGCACCGACAGTGCATTGATAAGGGGAAAATTACCCTCTGGTAAGCTAACATAATTTTGGAAAATCACATTTTTTTGGGGAAAACTCACTATACATGGCCATTTTCAATAGCTATGTTAGTTTACCGGAGGGTAAATTGGTCAACAACTGAGTTTTGACTGCAGTGACAAGAGAGTGACCGACCATGAGCTGAAACAGTACTCATGAACACATGAGCCCGGAGTTACCAAAGATTTCTTGCTACTTGGTGACAATATTGGAAACCCAAAAACTCTAATATGGGTAAACCACCCATTTGGGAGTGGTTTATACCACATTTATGGCGATTTGGGTGATGGTTTATTATTGTTTTACCCACATTAAACTTTTTTTGTTCTGGTTGATGAACAGAAGATTCCCCCACACTCTGGGTTTGTTGCAGGCTGACTCCGAGGCTAGTGGCGCACGGCGTAGCATCTTTTCGAAGACGAAGATGTGTAAGTTCCACCTGTTGGGTGTTTGTGCAAAGGCGATATGATTGGGATGGGCTGTGGTGAAACCTGGGATAAATAAAAGGTGATGGCCGATCGCTACTTTGTCTTGAAAAATGGGTTATGGCTCTCAAAATCAGTTGCGAATGCGAAGAACACATTTGAGGCATCCTTTCTCCTTCTATGGCTTTATCAAATCCGCGGTGTTTTTCCAAGCTGTCGTTGGAAATATGTCGTGCAAAGCCTGAAACAAACACCAAAAATTGGGTCGTTGAACAGATCAAAATGTTTCAGGACGACCTCCCAATTGCAAGGACGGGTGTGTCTGATATTGAGATATCCCAAATTTTTGGCCATCTAAGAGCCTGATGACAAATCATCGGATCAACAGATACGTAGAAATGGATCAAAACCAATGAAATCAATTGAAATTACCATAAATTAATATTTATAGTCCATAAACTACCATATTGGTTAATTTCATATAAATATTGGTAAATTTCACATAAAACAACCCATGGATTTACCTATAAATTGCCATAATTTGGGGTAAATCAACATCCATAAACCAGCTATGACTTGGGGACTCTCCGGGTAGCGTTACGCTCTGCGTCGCGCGCAGGGCAGCTCCTGCATCTTTGCGCATTGCAGGGACGAGTTGAGACCAGCTCCTGTCAGGGTCTCGCGGTGGGATGACTTGTGGCCTGTGATCCAGATGAGTATTCCTGGTGATTGTTGAATAGAACCTCAATGGAAAATAACTCTGGTAATTTATAGGCCTATTGTCAATACCCTATGGTAATATACAATACCCTATTATCAATTGTTCATGATAAACAAACATAACTATGGAAAATGGCCATAGAAATAGTGAATTGTCCCATGGAAAATGGTGATTTTCCATAGATATGTAAACATTTACCAGAGGGTATGGGGGTTGTCCTAAAAGCGTTGGTGTTCCCATTGATAGTAACAAAGTTTGGATGATTTGGGTTGCTTCCAGTTTTGGTTGTTCCCTCCAGATGTGTGCAGTGCGATCTAAGAAAATCAATGGGGATTGAAGCAGAACAGGAAAAACAACATGATGATGATGGTGATGATGATGACGATGATGTTGATGCTGGTGGTGATGATGATGATGATGATGATGATGGTGATGGTGGTGGTGATGATGATGATGATGATGACGATGAGGATGATGATGACGATGATGATGATGATGGTGATGGTGGTGCTGATGATGATGATGATGATGAGGATGAGGATGATGATGGTGATGATGATGATGCTGCTGATGATGATGATGAAGATGATGATGGCGATGATGATGATGATGATGATGATGACGATGAGGATGATGATGACGATGATGATGATGATGGTGATGGTGGTGCTGATGATGATGATGATGATGAGGATGAGGATGATGATGGTGATGGTGGTGATGATGATAAGGATGACGAGGATGAGGATGAGGATGCTGATGATGATGACGATGAGGATGAGGATGGTGAGGATGATGATGATGATGATGATGATGATGATGGTGATGGTGATGATGATGAGGATGATGGTGATGGTGATGATGATGATGGTGGTGATGGTGATGGTGATGATGATGAAGATGATGGTGATGGTGATGATGATGATGGTGATGGTGATGATGATGATGATGATGGTGATGGTGATGGTGATGGTGATGGGGGTGATGATGATGATGATGATGATGATGATGATGATGATGATGATGGTGATGGTGATGGTGATGCTGCTGATGATGATGATGATGATGATGAGGCTGATGATGATGATGATGGTGGTGGTGGTGGTGATGGTGATGATGATGATGATGATGAAGATGCTGATGCTGATGGTGATGATGATGGTGATGATGGTGATGCTGATGATGATGATGATGAAGATGATGATGGCGATGATGAGGATGATGAGGATGATGATGGTGATGATGATGAGGATGAGGATGATAAGGATGATGATGATGATGGTGATGGTGATGATGACGACGATGGTGATGGTGATGGTGGTGATGGTGATGGTGATGATGATGATGATGATGGTGATGATGATGATGATGATGAGGATGAGGATGATGAGGATGATGATGATGATGGTGATGGTGATGGTGGTGATGATGATGATGATGATAATGGTGATGGTGATGATGATGATGATGGTGATGATGATGATGGTGATGGTGATTTTTTGAATGCACAAAGAGTGACGAGCGGACTGATCCTGAGATGCTGAGGACCTTTTGCGCACCAAGATTTGCAAGACTTTGATCAACACAGGTGCGGGGCTGGCATGCAAAAATGGGGCGTTTCCCCAGTTGCAAACATGGGAGGAGCTAAATATGGGGAAATTTCAGGATGATCGCTAGGATTTTCCAAGTTTCCAGATTTATTGATCCTAGTTTGTAAAGCATGTAAGATTGGCCGTGTGTTTTCACTTTGAAGTTGGTTACTCATAATCCACTGTTTTTGATGGAAACCGGGCATTGGCATTTGGTTACTGATTCTGACTGAGCTGGTTTCTTTCTCTGTAAGGTGACCTGTAGGATGATGCGGTATTCCTGTCGGTTGCTGTAGCTCAATTTTGACACATCCCAAATGGATTTGTTCAATGGGAAATGTGGTTCTACTCGTTTGCTGAGTGGCATGATCTTCAACTCTCACATCCTTTAAGATGGTTAATGTTTGGCCATGAACATGTTTGGTCAATTGAGTCATAAAACATTTCATTCTCACACGAGAATCCCATTCTTGTACCCCGAGTTTGACCGCCATGATCCACATCGGTGGCTCGTCAGGTGCATGCCATGATCCGCAATGCAGGCAGGGCGGCAATCAATGGAGGGGTGATGTCTTGGCTCAAAGTTTGCCAAACAAAGGGTTGATGAACCATTTTTAATCATTTAAATATGGTGGAAAATAAAGATTTAACCATACTTAAGCAATGAAGAGATACGTTTTGATAGAATGTAAGAGGATGTAGAACCAATAAGAAGGTTTACCTGTTTTTTTCCAGAAATGGAGGTGTCACCATCAGCAATAATACTGTAGGGATTTTACCATATGGTTTGTCCATAAAGCCCCCACATACGAGGACCTATGACCGAAAGAATATGGGGGGCATTATGTGATATAGATGTGACATAGATGTGATATATAGTGCCCTTAAAGAATACATAGCAACATGTGCGTACAGATAAACTTTGTGCAGCCTTACATGCGGTTTCATGCATGATCTCGCATGCACGTTTTCTTGTTCCAGAACCAAAACACATTGGGAATGTGTATCCTGAAACCTCTGCCTCATCCCAGATCCTAAGTGCTAAATGACCCATGGCAACTTTCCTCGAGATATCAATGGGCTAAGCTCATGGGACTTGAGACCAGCAGGCTTGCTAACTCGCAATTCCTGGGGATGCTCAACTTGCATCGCAAATCCTCATTTTGGATCATTTTGGTTGGTGTGTTCCAGTTCATAGAAGTTCATATAAGTGCCAATAAAAACGATGCCCATTTTCTTTACTGGGATGCACATGCAAGTCCCACTTCTGCCGCTTCTCCTCAGCGTCTCAGCGTCGCTGATTCGATTGCATTCGATTGCTCGTAGAAAACTGGCTCTTGATAGAACCAAAAATACTGGGTTGTATGGGTTATATACATATATATATATGGGTTGTATATATATATATATATCCGGATATATATATATATATATACATCCATCCATCCAGATCTCCCAATTGTATCCCCCATGGCCTGGTTATCACATGTTATCACATTATATCACCATCTCCGATGGTACCTCCCACTTCGATGGGCCATGGGTGACCGCTTAGCAACTGGGTTACTCCTGTAACTGTAGCTACGACGATGTTTCCCAAAATTGATGTCCCAGACTTTCAGGGAAGCTCCCCTCCCATACATATTTGGTGGATTTGTCATATAAGTCAATGGTTTTCCACAGTTTTCCATGGGTTTTCCATGGGTTTTCCACAGTTTTCCATGGGTTTTCCATGGTTTTCTATGGTTTTCCTCTAGATTTTCCCAAGAAAACGCCATTGAAACTCGGCCCCGCCTAGCCCCAAGTCACCTCGCCTCGCGAGGTTTGCGCACAACCGCGACGAGCTTCGAAGCGCCAGTTTCGGCCGCGTCCCATCACCCAGGTGCAGATGGGTGGTTTTCTAGTGGTAAACTATACATCTGGGTAAATTACAGCTTAGTGAAATATCAAAAAAACGGGTTACCCTCTGGTTATTTAACATAGCGGGAAATTCTATATATTTTTTTCATAGGGAACTCATCATTGTTTTTATCATCTATCTGGGTAAATTATAACGACCTCACTGTTCTCCCTCACTGGAATCATGGATAGTAAGGGGAATCATCCCCAAATGGCCTTAATTCAGGGATCGCCCTTGGAGAAGTTGGTGGCCTTAATTCAGGTTAGTGAAATATTATAGTTTACCCAGATCTATAAATGGAAAAAAAATGGGGTCCCATTAATATCTGGGTAAAAATTCACGACCGAACCCTGTTCTTCCCAAGCCTGGATGGAATCAAGTTTAGGGAAATCATCCCCAAATGGCCGCACGTTTCAGGGTGAAATATGAGAATTTACCCATGAAAATTGGAAGTTAACCCCTCAAAATTTGGGATTTGACCCCTCAAAAATTGAGAGTTATCACTTAAAAACATGGAACCATCTATTTTTTGAAAATTGGGAGTTCAGCCCTGAACAATGGAAAATTATGGGGATTCTACCAAGAAAATGTGGGCACCATTTTGTGGGAAAGCGTGAATTTCCGTGGAGATTGAAGAAATTTTACGTCATTTTTTACCATAAATTCCATGGATCATCAATTTTTTACCATTAATTCTCCAAATAGCCTCTGGTAAACTAACAGTTTGCGAATTATGGAAAATGACCCATAGAAATATACATGGTTTACCTATAAAAAATGGTGGTTTTCTATAGCTATTTTAGTCATTACCAGAGGGTAAATCACCCCAGTGGATGGTCGGGCCAGCTGGGCTCCAGCTGGGCTCGCAGGGGACCGCACCAGCGACTCCAAAGAGAGCCCACAGAGGCGGCATTTGGGGGGATGTTGACCCAGATAAACTGCTTGGTTACAAGCAAAACATAGCAAAACATAGCAAAACACCTGGATTTCACCAATCATAAGCTGGATTCAAGTGTGGGTGTTCCAGCAAGAAATGGGGATTTTACAAGCAAACGCTCTGGATTAGAACAATTGCAGAGGCTCAAAAACATCTTTGGTACAAAAGAAGTTGGACCGCAGTCTGCGGTGTCCTTTTTGTTCGGTTCACTTCTCGTCCACTATCGTTGCTGATGCAAGAGTTGAGTTGAGATCTACATTGTAGATGCACCCAAATCGGGATATGAATCAGCAGAAATGCAATGTGAAGCAAGCAAACAAAAACCATTGGAAGTCTTCCGCAAATTCTTGGAACAAGCATGAACAGACCCGGATATCATACATAGATTTTTAAATCCAATTGCATCCCAGTAAATCCCACATATTTTCCCATATCTGGTTGGTTGTTGGTTATTGTTGGTGATTGGTTATACATCCCCAATTTTGTGGGATAAATTCCCAACATTTTTCGACCAAGCTGCCAAAAACCGCGCGACGCCGCAGATTTGCTATGCGGTGCCAGACAGATATCCGGCCCAGGCTTGCGATGCCAAGCTGGATACCCTTTGCTAATCAAAGATGGCAATGAACAAACATTTCCATTTCTAGATGATATTCTCATCAAAACTTGAATTTATGGGGAATTTCCACTTGCTATGTTTGATTGCCGGAAGATATCACTAATGATCATGTTTTCGAAGTTCTATTCTGTATTCTATATAACTATCCAACACGGAAGGGTAGCATCTATCCTTGGAATTGTCACCATTTTGAAATGTGGATTCCAGTTCATAAGTGGATGTAAAAATAGCATATGGTTACGGCTTACTAACATGGATACCACTGGCATATACTGGCAGACTATTTTAAAAGTAACCTATCGTATTCCCAGTCTTTCTCCCAAAATAGAGGGGAAGTAGAATACAATATCTAAAATCTCACTGTTTTGAACGGGTCCCATGGACAAACCAAGGAAGTGAGAGTTTTTAATCCATGTATATACCTTATATAACCATGATCATTTTTTGCCTTTTTCAACCGGCTCTGGCGCGATGTTCTGAACTGGCTGAGACGGTTTTTGGGGATATAAATCATGGGCCCATCTACTCACAAAGCATTGATTAAACAGTTGCTAACCAGCTTGTCAGCTTGTTTGATTCTCAAACTACCCTCTGGTAAACTAACATAGCTATGGAAAATGGCCCATAGAAATAGATGGTTTACCTGTTTACCTATCAAAAATTGTGGTTTTCCAGTTCGCAAACTGTTAGTTTACCAGGCCGGGTATATTCCAATATGATTGGGGCTTCATTCACCCAGACAGCAGTTGCTGACGGGATCATCTCTGGAGGGAGAAGATCCCACATGTCAGGTTCAACTCAGGTCCCGCGAAAAAGCCATGGGTTTCTCTGAAAAGCCACCCCCAATTCCGCACCGTGAAAAGCCACCCGGCCTGGTAAACGTTTACAGTTTGCGAACTGGAAAATGGCCATAGAAATAGTGGCTTTACCCATTAAACATGGTGATTTTCCATAGTTATGGAAACGTTTACCAGAGGGTATCACCATTTTCTGATGTAATTTTGACGATACCCCATGTTCAAACCCAAATCCACTCTTCATGGGTTCAAGATTGTTAAATCACATTAAACCACCATTTTTCAAATCACCATTCTTGCTGGTCAAATTCCCACACCCATTTTTTTTGGGGGGTTCAGCCCCTCCTTTCCTTGCTTCACTCCTCAAAACAGGTGGCCCTGCAGTTGCCGATCCCCGCCATTGGTCAGGCTCCCTGCCCTCAGCCGCAACCATGACCTCCCGTAAATCATGACTTGTTGCAGACTATCATGGGGGATCACCCAGTCACCATAGGTTACCCTCTGGTAAACGTTTACACTTTGCCAGTTTGCGAACTGGGTTGAATCACCATCATAATAATGGCTCATTCAGAGTATGGAACCATTATTGATCATAATTTACCATTGTTAACCACTATTAATCATTATCATATAACCATTATGGAAAATCCTTCCAAGACTTTATGACTTCCGTTTTTCCGGAAATCTGTAGCCCCGGTCGCACTGGGACACCCAAAATGTTTTATGGGAGAAGCCAACTGGATCAGCTCACTTGCCATTTTGAAACACCATTTTACCAGTCATAGTTACCCCGAATTGTGGCCAAAAATGCTTCATAACCCAAGCTGAAACACAATTCTTTGGCCAAAAATGCTGGCCATATACACTATTTTGACCGCTGAGAAGCCAAGTTTAACCACCATTCTTTGGCCACCAAAAGTTCTGCCATCAGAGGCCTTTCAACTGGCTTATGCTCCCGTGGCTGTGCCCGTGAGCTTTGTCTGGACCTTAGGAGGTGGCCACCAATTTGTTTCCTTTGTTGGTGGATGTGGGGGGAAAACAAATCCAAACAACTATAGAAGATGTTCACCAGCAAAATTTGGATTTTGCAGTTTTTTAGCATAGTTTTAAGCACTACAAATTGGGATGTTTTTGACCAGACAATGTGGTGTTTTCATTGCCCAAGACCCAAAATGGTTTGGAATTCAAAAGCTTGCCTCCCTCTTGATGGATTTGTTGGGGTTGATATGCCTATGTGACCGCGATGGCATGGCCCACCCCAACATACCCAATCAGGAAGCCTTGATAGTCGTTGACCATACGAAGGTGTTGGACCATGGCACATCTGGGGCGATCAACTGTAACAGTAACATATCTGTAGCTGACAGGTGGCTATGGATCAAACTAGGAGTCTCTCCAAGATGTGGACGGGAAAGACATGGTAAGACCAAAGACTGCCAGTCTGTCTGTGGTTTCCGTGCGTCTCTCGACTAAAGCTAAGATATTGCTGGTCAGTCATGCCATGTTTGGGGGTCCAATCTCGATTTTTCTGGTTCAATCTCCCAAATCTTTGCAGGTTCATTTCACCATGGTTGATAGTCGTTAATTTTTTTTTTTGATGGTTCAAACTCCTACTCTTGCTGGTTCAATACACATTCTTTTAACATATTTGTTGGTTGGATAGTCTCAGGGTGGTGAAGACCAGTTATAAGTTGGTTTATAGTCCCTTTAATCATAGCTATATCAAAAATCTATCCCAATATATCTCCGTAATCAACCCTAGTTATTGGAGTCATAAACCAAGTTAGCTAACGAACTGGGCCCCCACCCTGTTAAGTAAATCCCAAATCGACCATTTCTTGATGTTTCAATCCCAGTGAACTCGCAGCAACTCTTCGGCTGAGGTTGCTACTGCCTGGGCCGGGGAAGGAGCGAAGAAAAGCGGGAAGAAAAGCGGGAAGCCGGGAGCCAGCTCATGGTCCAACTAGTATTTGGGTTGGCATTGGTTATGTGTCTATTCCATTCCATTGTTTATTGTTCCCAACTTTGATGATTTCTTGTTCCAAGTGTTTGGCGAATTATTACAATAATATAATCCAGAAATGTTGATGATTACGGGTTAAACATGGTTAAACATCTACCAACAAACCACCAAGATTGGGGAATAGGTCATATCCGATTATTAATTATGACCGATTTAACTGTTAAACGCTAGGAAATTAACCAACTAAAATGGGAAGTTCAAGCAATTTAAACTGCAAACAATCGAGCATGCAGACTTTGCATTAAACTGCGCCAGGTATCTTCAAACAATGTATCAGTCCTTTGTGGGGATGTGTTTGCTTTTGTTTCTCTTGGAAACCAGATGGCAAGTTCATTGCTGTGTCCTTTCCCCTTCCCAGTGTCCAGCCATGTCAGGACCAAAGCAGAAGCCCCAATGCAGGGGCAAGGCGCGCCGAGCTGGGAAGATGTGGACATTCAAGTGGACAAGTTACCAACCAAAAGGGGCATATTATGTATGTATATAAATATATATATATATACACATACATACATACATAACATAACATTACATAACATAACATTACATTACATTACCTACGTACATACATACATACGTACGTACGTACATACATGCATACATGCATGCATGCATACATACATACATACGTACGTACGTACACACATGCATACATGCATGCATGCATGCATACATACATACATAGACATACATAGACATACATACATACATAGACATACATAGACATACATACATACATACATACATACATACATACATTACCTACCTACCTACCTACCTACATACATACATACATACATAAATATATATATATATATGTATGTATATATATGTGTGTGTATATATGTATATATATATACGTATATATATGGCCCAGCGTTTGGTGGTTCCCCCCTCCCCACCGAGATGGTGATGGTCACTATATGTATATGTAAGTTGTATATATATATATGTATGTAAGAAGTGTGTGTGTATATATATATAGATACACATGCGTGTGTATACGTATGTAGTATGTGTATGTGCAAATGTATACCCCCCCTGTGGATGTGGTGGGTGGGGGTGGGTGGGGGGATGGGTGGGGTGGGCGGGGGCCAATAGTGTGGAGTAGAGTAGAGTAGAGTGGAGAAGGTTGCATAGAGTGAGAGCAGAGAAGACATTCACAACACTTTTCACATAAAGACATTTGTGAAACAGATTCCAAGAGCAAAAGAGGTGGCATCACTGAAGGTGGCAGCACCAATTCCTATAGGGGAAACTTCTGCGAAGTTCCTATAGAACATGGTGCCTTGTCGGAAACTTCCGCCACCCCCCTCGTGCGGGTTCCCGTCCAAATGTCGCTTGCTGGTCATGTGGGGCACACTTCGGCCACTTCAACAGATCACGGATGATGGAAAACTTGGAATGGTACACCTTTCATAGCATGTTGATCACTGAAGCAACATAGCTTCCACACTTTCGGAATCCTTGTTTGCTCCTGCCCGTGTCCAAGACACCACCAACAAAGACTGCTATCGTGTAAAAACGCGAATGTGTCAAAATGCGGTGCCTATTGCAGTGTATCGGAATGGTTTAGGGGTTGTCTCAACATCTTCCAGGCCTCCAAAGTCCACTGGAACTCCTCATGTGCCTATTGCAAGTACTCTTCTGTCTCTGATCAGCAAAGAAAGGTTTGCTTGTGTTGAATCTTGTCAGCGAAAGCAGCAGTTCCAACATGTTGCAAGTTCTCGGACGCGTCTCTGGAGGCTTGCAATCAGCCAGTTTGTTTGAGCTGAGCTAGGACTTTGAAGAACTATCCGAACTAGCCCACATGCTCGATCATTTGGCTCCAGCTGAGATCAGAGCGCAAGTTCACTGAAGTGACTCAGGACCGTGGTTTTGATGAAAGCTTCTCCGTGTAGAAGTTGCCCTGTATTTAAACAAAAATCCTGTGTAAAAGCTTCTGTGTAAAAAGTTGCTTTGTGTAAAAGCGTCCTAACCCCCCATACCATATGAGGGGGGTGTATACATGGTCAGAGCGCCGGCAGGAGCGCTGTACTGTTTGCGATATTCAATGTCTGCGTCATCACATGTTTTTGACATATTGTGAGAAAACGCAAGGTTTTTAGTATGTATCATGTTGATCGTGGATATGCAGATGAGCAAAAACGTAGAACTGCGCGCCCCAAATGGGTGATTTTGTTCAAGTTCATTGTTTTTTTGCAATGTATTTGTATTTATGTTCCAAGCTGTTTTCATTGGCATTTTTTTTCTACCTTTCATCTCGGTGGTGCTTGCACAACTCCCCGAGGCTGGTGAACACGTGTCCTTCATTGAGGCGACGCCACTGTCCACGCCAGAGGTATTTCCAGAGAGCTCACTCTCTGATCTTCCCTTTGGAAGTCGTTGTCCATTGGTTCGGCACACTTTTCTTTACATGGTGCCACTGCCTATCTAACTGCTGCGTGCCCGCTGTGCGAGCTCGACCTCTTTTGCGCGTGAACTCTGCACGGGAGTGTTTGACCACAACCCATTTGAAACTTTTGCGAGGCCAATCTTTTCCAGCTTTCTTCCATCCGAGAGCACCATCGATGTAGCAAGATGTCCGAGCTTGAATGGAGGACAATATGCGACTGCTAGAGATCTCATCATAAGATTCCTGTGGAGGTTTGCCTCAGGGAGACGTCAACTTCCATTTGCAAGGAGCCAGCTTCACTCTGTTGTTTCCACGTTGCGAGGCGCCGAGAATTCTGATGTGCAAGAGAAAGTATGTGGGCAGCTGCCTTCTTGGAAATCCATTCTGCCAGGCACGAACCAGTGGGGCGTAGGTTCGACGTCGCGGTGAAATCTGACAAGTTCGAACTGTCGTGGCGTCCATCTCCACGTGGTTCCTGAGACATAGCTTGCCATTCAACTCTTCACCAGCAACGGCTTCCAGTTCGTGTAAAGGTTTGAAGACTCTAGCTACCGGCTTCCACGTGCTACCAATGACCTTGGCCACTTTGCCTGCACTGGGTGGCGCAGTGGTTTTCTCACCGCAATACATCAACAAAGCTGTATGCAACCTTTGTGGAGACAGTGGAGACCGAGCAGTAGATCCTAGCCAGGAGGCACCTTGCATCATATAGCAACGGTATCTGCAAGTCAACTCTTTGCATTGCTTCACCACATGGTTTTCCTTGTAGTACACAAAGGCTTGACCCAAATCAGATTGGCACCGCGGACAGCTGCTCAAGTTTTTTAAGTAGACTGCACTCACCAAAGCTTTCCAGCTTTGAATCTGCCCTTCTGCAGATTGAGCTATACCGGTGGACTTCTTGCGACTCTCATTCTTTTTCTTGCGCACTTTCTGAGCGTGCTGTGTCCCAGAGTATTTCTTGTTTGCTTCTTTGCGAAACTTTCCCCACACTTTCTTCCCCAAGCGAGGAGGTCGTCTGCCTTCCTGGGGTTGTCTCAGCACTCCAGGTCGTTTCTGCTGGGAGGAGCGCAACAGCCTGACAGGAAAGCTGATGTTCAGGGTGTATTCTAACTAATGGAAAAAAAAGCTTGAAACTAGAGCCACTGGGAAGAAAACCAAAGGTAAGACGAGAAGCTGTCTATACTTTTCTGCCCCTGGAATGTCGCAATTCTTCACGGTGTAACCAGAACGTCCGCAGAGACCACAGACCATTTGGGTGTACGGAGCGTGTGTGAGTACGTTAGTCATATATCCTTGACACCTGTGGTCATAGAAACGGATGAGAACAACCTGGACCGATGTGTGCAAAGAGAGTGAGCCCATTATGGAAATGTATGAATGGAAGTCACAACAAAACACAAATCCTAATAAGCCCAAAAATACGGCGAAGGAGGAAAGTATTTGCTGCGTGACTGCTCATTCCAGTGACACATTGTCCAACTAATGCCTGGAACTACAACATTTCTTAGTCCTAACCAACGATTGACGATTGTCATCATCTTAGACATGTGGAGCATCATAAGCATCGGCATCCGTAGTTGCAATTCGAGACCACGTCACTTCAAATGAAAAGTAGCACTGGTTGATGCTGTTTGCTCTGCACACTTTTTTTTTACAGCATGCCAAAAGAACTGAAAGTTCCAACGTGTGACATGGAGACACTCACCGCGAAGCACGAGCAAACGACGATCTGAGAGACTGAAAGTCGTCTCTCATGGACTTCGGAAGTTCACGCCAACGATGCATGGGAAATGGAGCATCGGTCCAACATTTCCTCTTGTTTTGATCATCTTTCTTCTTGAATCCATTGCACAACAGCACCAACTATCCAGACTTGCGGCCTGAACGATAAATCCAAGGATGTCTAGCATAGCCGCAGCCAGGTCGTTCACATTTGCCCCAACGAAACCTCAGCGGACAAGTCAACAGAAACGGAGGGGAAAACGTGTTGGTGGAGAAGAACAAAACATGCTGCCAAGAAACGGAACAACAGAGTCCGGCTCATTCGCGGCAGACTCTTCGGCAAGGTCATCGTCCATCGCGGCCAACCCAGGACGTAATGCTGTTGCCTCGGATCTTTCTTCTGGACGGCTCGGCGGAGAGGGAACTGCATTGGCGCCATTCTCTGAAGACATTGTAGGCCCAAATCGTTGCATCCACTCAGCACTCTCATGCAAACTCAGAAACGGTTGCAAAAACAATCCAGGCGCGGAAACGCTGGTCTGCCTTGTTTCCAACGAAGACTGCATCACTGGCGTGCTGAGACGCTCGGCTGGAGTGTGAGAGTCAGACGGTGGCTCCAGGCAGGCGTCCTCATCAGAAGAAACATTGTGAACCTCATTCACAGGACCGGTGAGAGAACATTGCCGCCAGTACTACCTCTTGTACCTCTGCGTGCGCGGGGAATCTCCAAAACGACCTGTTTGCAATGGCGATGGCGGCCCAGAATTCTCGAGGATCTGCATGTAGGAGGCCACTGGAGTGTCAGGCTCTGCTTTCTGCGTCGAAGACTTGGGCGAAGCAGGGGCTTCCGAACATGCGCTCGGATCATGCATTGACAATGCATTGATGTCTGCTGCAGACATGGATGCTCGCCTGAGAATTACATTCCAAACATGTTTGAACGTTGGGAAACCCCCCAAAAAAAGGTGCCAGCAAGTAAATACAATCCAAGGCGCTCTCCAAGTTCATGCAACACTTCGGTGCAGTGCGACTCCCAGGACCAGCCCGACGCATGTCCAGATGCATCCAAGAGAAGAAAGCTTCGGTCACAAATCTGTGACACAGTCAGTGAAGCATGAAACCTTCTCCAGGTCCAATGCAGCAGTGCGGCCTGAATATATCTGGGCAAAGTAGGGTTGCGACGGGCAAATCTGTGCCACGCATCTAACATACAGGCACGGCTCTTGGCTAAACCTTCAAAATCGTGACCCTGTCGGAGAATTTTCTTCAACTGCATGTCATTGTGGTCCACAGAAATTTGCACAAAGATTTCCTGTAATTCATGAAGAACAACAAGAGGTTCGCTACGCCATGAGCCGAGCACAGGAGGTAAAGAAACCTGTGCAAGACGAAGTAAAATCAAAAGGCTCAGATCATGAGCCTCCATCGGACCAAAAAGTAACTGCGGCCACAGAGTGCGTGAAAGTGCTTCGCCACATTCAACATCTCATGTGCCATGGCCAAGTCCATGTCCACGTCTATGATATATATTTGATTATATGCATCTCTAAATCTATTCATATATATATATATAGAAAGATTTAAAGATCAATGTAAATCTATATATATATATAGAAGTCCACATCCCAGTCAATGCAGCCGAGCGTGAAATCTCCAGGGCAAACCAGCTGAGTCGCGTGCCTGGGCGTGGCCAGTTTGACAAGATCAAATTGAACATCTTCCCAGTACTCTCAGTTGCTTCAGAAAAAACCGCTCCACGACAACGTGGAGTCGGGTATGTAGTGCAAATTCCATCAAATATTCACATACCCCATAACCAACCCCACCCCATACCCAGGGTAGCATCACGTGGGTGTGCAACTTCAGATGAACGTTAACATGACCCCCACCCCAACCCCAACCCCAGCCCATACCCAGCGTAGCATCACGTGGGTGTGCAACTTCAGATGAACGTCAACATGACCCCCACCCCAACCCCAACCCCAGCCCATACCCAGCGTAGCATCACGTGGGCGTGCAACTTCAGATGAACGTTAACATGACCCCCACCCCAACCCCAACCCCAGCCCATACCCAGCGTAGCATCACGTGGGTGTGCAACTTCAGATGAACGTTAACATGAACCCCACCCCAACCCAACCCCACCCCATACCCAGCGTAGCATCACGTGGGTGTGCAACTTCAGATGAACGTTAACATGACCCACCCCAACCCCAACCCCACCCCATACCCAGCGTAGCATCACGTGGGTGTGCAACTTCAGATGAACGTTAACATGACCCCCACCCCAACCCCAACCCCACCCCAGGGTCAGCGGGGTGTTGAAAAACGACGAAAGCGTTGCGCTTCTCAAGGCGCTCACACCGTATACATACATACATACATACATACATACATACACCGTACATACATACATACATACATACATACATACACCGTATACATACATACATACGTATACATACATACATACACCGTACATACATACATACATACATACATTACATACATTACATACATTACATACATTACATACATTACATACATTACATACATTACATACATTACATACATACATACATTACATACATTACATACATTACATACATTACATACATTACATACATTACATACATTACATACATTACATACATTACATTATACATTACATACATTACATACATTACATACATTACATACATTACATACATTACATACATTACATACATTACATACATTACATACATTACATACATTACATACATTACATACATTACAAACATTACATACATTACATACATTACATACATTACATACATTACATACATTACATACATTACATACATTACATACATTACATACATTACATACATTACATACATTACATACATTACATACATTACATACATTACATACATTACATACTTACATACATTACATACATTACATACATTACATACATTACATACATTACATACATTACATACATTACATACATTACATACATTACATACATTACATACATTACATACATTACATACATTACATACATTACATACATTACATACATTACATACATTACATACATTACATACATTACATACATTACATACATTACATACATTACATACATTACATACATTACATACATTACATACATTACATACATTACATACATTACATACATAACATACATACATACATACATACATACACCACATACATACATACACCGTATACATACATACACCGTATACATACATACATACATACATACACCGTATACATACATACATACATAGATACATATATATTTATATGTATACACTGTTTCTATAGCCAAACTGAGTGCACAAAAAATGAAGATTTTACCATATTTTATCAGTAGAAATTGGAGCGACGTAGTTGGATTGTATCCCGGTTAGTATAGGTTCATAGGACTCAACTAACCAAACTGGGTTAGTAACCTGGAAGAAATTGGGTGTCTACCAACAAAATGCATCAAGTAGGTGATTTCACCACTTCTGAATATCTATGGATCAAAGTGTCATCTAAAATTGGCTAATTATGATGGTAATTTGGGGAAATGGGAAAACTCTGAATCGGGAAGTGTCCTGGCTATTTATGAAATTCCACCAAACCAAATGTCCTACTAGGCTGTCCGTGACCAAGTTAATAGCCATTTGGCATATAATGAACACATGTGTAAATCGGATAACCCCAGAAACACCAGTTACGCATGGCCTATGAACCACTTAATTACTAACTTGGATAAATCCATAATGGTCTGTGACCACAATCATTGGTCCTTTTCGGAGGTTCATTGTCGAAATTTGGAAGATCTTGTCATGATTTGCTAATCACACCTTTGGGTTCCTTGTTGTAGAATCCATCGCATAGGTCTATGTTCATGCCCCTTTCACGCGGGTTGATGTTCGTTTTGTGGCAGGAGGGTCACCTAGGATCCCTCCCAAGCTGGGAAAACAACAGGTGATTTTTCAGTTTTTTTTTTTGAAAAGATTTTGGCTGGGTTGGTATATCCCCCACCATCAAGATGATGTTTGGAAATCGTGGCCATGGCCATGGAATATCCCCCATTTCTGGATGTTTTTCGTGAAAACTTGGGTTGAAAAGGGGGATTTCCAATTGCCATGGTTGATAACTTGAGGGTATATTCTCATTAAATTTCATCAAATCACCATTGTTGTTGGCTAAATCCCATAAAAATCCAGTTAAAACCCATAGGAATCCCATAGAAATCCCATTTAAACCCATAGAAATTTCATTGAATTGTTGGAATCACATCATGGCCACCGCATAAATCCTGCAGGTCTCCCGGTCACGCATGTTCTCCATGGATCGAAAGGCGGCTGAGCTGCTCGGGGGTCCCAGATGGGTGACGTGGGTTCTTCAGTGCTCCATAAATGGGGGTACCCCACAGGATGGAAGCCCCAGTCGAGCTCACGTTCAGGCTGAATTCGATTGGGTTTATGAATGTTTATGGTAGATATAACGAACTAGTTAATGGAGGGTACAATGGTTTATAAACCAGCAAACATCACTACAAAAACCCCATCCTGCAATAGCTGGTTGGTTTGTGTCATGGAAAATCCCGTCGGAAGATCCCATCGATGATTTCGGGGTTTTCAGGAAACCAGGAAACTTGCCATTTGGGGGTTGGAAACTAACTGGGAGATCCCCTTTATCGCTGGTTGGTTTATCATGGAAAATCCCATCTGTAAATGGATGATTTAGATATTCAGGATGATTTAAGGGTATCCCCATTTTAGGAAAGTTACGTCAGGTTTCCATTATGTATGATAATGTGGGTAAAACAATGTCATAAACCCTCCCCCAGTCATAACCCTTTTTAGAGGTGAGTTTCAACCATTCCCAAATGGGTGGTTTATGGCATTATCCCCTCTGATATATGGGGGGGTTTCATAGTCATGGGGGTCCCCCCTTTATCGCTGGTTGATTTCATGGAAAATCCCATCTCTAACTGGATAAGTGGGGTCCTATGACTCAGGAAACCATCGTTCGCATCATAATTAAAAAACGATCAATTGTGCAGAGATAAACTGTTTATTCCTGAAATAGATGGACTTTTTAAACATGTGTAAACGAGATTTACCCTCTGGCTATGGAAAATCACCATTTTTCATGGGAAAACTCACTATAAATGGTGATTTCAGATAGTTATGTTAGTGTACCAGAGGGTACCATCAGAAATATGTGCAGCAGGAGATGACAGCACCGGTGATTTGCTGAGGCTCAGCCAACAATCCACCGACGACCAAATCAGCCGGCGATCTCAGTGGGGCAATGGGGCTAAAAAAACGCTGGGATGTTTCCGTTACGGAAAGCCGGAATGGTTGGGTTTTCATGTGGCAACTTTTTGCATCCTTGAGACATACACGGAGAAAAGCATATGAGATATATGAGTCTCAAGGATGTTCAATGATGTATGTTTACTGAAAGAGTTTTTGACAGGAATACTGAAGATGAATTTCATGAATAGTGAGCGGCGTGATTGCAAGTCCCCTCTGAATCGTGGGTTCAGATTTGTCGACTGCCAAACTTGGGAATCAATTATTGCTGTCCCAAACGGTCCTCAAACTTAGCAGCCTGGTGATCAAATGCAACTGACTTTGGATCGACTCTTGGTCTTTCACTGTTCAAATGGGGACACTTCAACATAAATCCATATAAATTCTCTATTTTCTTATTAACATGTCTATTGTCCTATGAATCTTCATGCCCATGTTGTTGCGTCCATAACTTGGCAAAGTGAAGACACCGAGGCACAACTTTCTACGACAGCGTCACGGACAGCCCTCCGTCCACGGAAAGGTGAAACCAAGTGATTTTTTGGGGGTTGAATTTTGAGTCGCTAGCGTCACTAATTACAACTAATCTAATGGTAGTAAAGCAATAGGATCCACCATCCCCAATTTTAGCATGTTTATGGGTGGTATAAACCATGAAAATATGGGTGGTTGATGATTGCTTTACTAAAACATTAATTCCTAGATTGCAAGATAGTGATTTTTGGTGGAAAGTCGAGCGATGGTAGTTCCTCATTTGGGGAAACCACTGCTTAAGCAAATACAACTGTCGAGGTGTTGCGCTTAAAATAGAATGGCTGGAACCCAGACATGCCCAACGCCAATCTAGAACAGGCACAATGAGCTCACCTTGGACAATTTTGGTGGGGCCACGAATAATGATTCCAATGTACCATTCTGGTTGATAATTAAAGATGCCCCTTGGCTGACACATCACTCATACTTATCCTAAAGGGTAACACGTTAGTGTTGCTTGTCTTGTTAGCTGGTATTTGAAAGTATTATTATCAATTATTGTGTATTCTTGTTGATTCTTATTGCCAACTATTACTTTTGATACTATGAAATGATGCATAATTCCCCCTTCTCGATGATGCCTCAAGCCTCAGATGTGCCAGGTGTGCTCCAGGGACAGAGGCAGCGGAATCGTCCCTCAGACCAAGTGCGATATGACATTGATGATATGATTCGATCTGGTGCCAGTTGGTATCCATTTCTAAATGCCTTACAGTATCGTTAAGCGCCTTACAATTCCACTTGTTGACTAAACATGGAGTGGCATGAAAAAATGCGATGAACCGATGAACCATTAATATGTATATATACATAAAATACTGTATACAGGTATATTTCTGGTTATTTTTTATTCTGTGGCTGAATTACCACGACGTCCCGGCGACGTCGCTATGGATGATGGGAACAGGACTGGAAATAATCATCTCCAAATGATTCAAATGATCCAATATGTCAGGTTGGTGAAGTATCGTATTCAACCAGAGGTACCACTGGTTATGTTTGGTGGCTTTGGTAAAATCCAATAATGAAATAAACAAAATAGACTTATAAACAGGTCGTGTCCGTATTTTTGGCGACTGACCCGCGACATCCAGCTACCTAACCGAGCGGTATTTCAATTATCCCGTTGCCATTTTGCGCGGCTACAGCATATTCTACCCAGATTTTGTGGGTTTTTCATCAGTTGAATACCTGCTTTGGTTGCAGATGAAACCACAGCTTTCCAATCCAAATCCTCGAGGTTGGATACAGACGAGGAGCTGCTATACTGTTCTCACGACTTTCAGGCGCCGAGCTGCCGAGCCCCAGAAGATCGCCGATGAAAACGACGACCGCAATGGTTATGGATTCTATCCTGTTCTGGGAATCCATGATGTTTTAAGCCAGATGGATTCCCAGATGATGGTTAAGCTATTGATTAACAGATGATTAAGCTATGGTTATTTTTTCTGGACCGCAATGGTTAAGCTATCAACAGATGATTCACAGATGATTTTCAGTTCAGCCATCGATGGTTTCAAAACTGACAAAACTGGGAGGTATCTGCAGGCACCAAGGCTGGGCCGCGACGTGCCATGACCCCTGGTGTGTTTGGAAATGGGTGGTTTTCTTCATGATTTAGACCTGAATTGTGGCATTTTGTTCTAGGCAAAATGATGATCAACCGCATACTGGCAATCCACCAGCGCAGTAGCCAGATGTAGCCAGTTTCTTGTTGCATCTTCAATTTCAGATCTGTTTTGGGACCTTTTCCAACAGGGTAAATGTACCATTTTGTTTGGGTTTCAAGTCTCAAACGAGCTGGGTAAATCATGTTGCTTAAGGAAGATTCCAAACATCACGAGGACCAACAAAAATACGAAAAAATCCAGCAGTTTGTTTTGGGTTTTAAGTACTGGTCAACTGGTGAAGTGGGGATTGTAGCAAACTGTGGTATGATACTGTGGATGGTTGCGAAATCCTGCATCACCTTGTATGGTTGAAACAGTTGAAACCCTAGAATTATTGGGATAAACCGGATAAACCCTTCCATCCACAGTAGGATTATCAATGCCTTGCCAGGCCTCGGCGTGCTGATCCCGTGGGAAGTTTTGGATTAGGTGCCTTGCCATGCATACATCATGGGGATCTTTAGGGTTTTAATCTGCTTGGAATATCTTGGAATGGGATGCACTTGGGATGGTGAATTCAAAAATGGTCACCCATCTATGTAAATACGGGGGATTTTTACCCCACTTGCATTATCTTGCATTGATTGGGTGATAAGCACTTTCGATTCCTTGGAAGCTGCTGGTTCCCCATTCATTCATTCAGGAGGATTAGGTGAAACCTAACTGATCGGCGCCTCAAAATTTGGTCCCCAACACCTTCGAAGGACTCAGAAACAGACTCGACTTTGACCATCACCTGCAGAGACTGCTGGTAAGATGGATTTAGCCTCTGGAAAATCCGGCATGCCCATGGGATATCGCCCATTTATATCCATTTATATCCCTGTTATACATGCCCCAGCAAAGCTCATTTGCAGATGATGTTCTCAGCCCAAATCGTTGAGGTTTTCAGTTCCCCTTGCTGCACCGATCTGCAGTTCTTCCAGGTCTTGCGTCAATGAGCGCTGCATTGACCTTAGTGAGACGACTTCGTGCGCTCGGCCGGTTCGATTTTTGGTTGTTGAGATCCAGCTGATGTTTGTCCAAAAGATCTTTGCTTCAAAGTGCCCGGACATGTCCCCGCTCTTTGTGTGGAGGCTGGCAGAGTTTCTGAGAGAAAACTATCTGATTATCTACACAATGATTGACCCAACATAGTCGCATTCAAAAGACCCTCGCATGCAACAATTTAGCATGATAGTTATGATAGCAGGTCTTCCCAACTTAGAACGTCTGGATCGCTGTAGCGCACGAAGGTGCATGAAACTGGCCGTGTTTCAAGAGACGGAAAAGACTGGCCGCGAGTGGCGAGCCGCAGCTCGCTAACCATGGGCGAACCCCGAGTTTGGAAAGCGATGGGTATGGGTCAAGTCACGCGTCACCAAGTCAGGCTGCTGATTTTGGATGCACCAAGTCAGCCAACTGGTGAAGGAATTGGACCCATACCTGCAATTCTTGGGGTTTTCCTATCCCTTCTCGCAGCCAGCGCTTTGGGTCCGCTGGTCTTTCCAGCGGTGGGTGGCAATGATACATAGCTTTTCATGGACGCCAGAGCCCTTCCCCCTGATCAATAAAAACGCCGATTCATCGGCGATCGCCACGCCAGATTTTGGACTTGGCAAGTCACAAGAAGCGAGACTTCCAGCACCCCCCATGACGCTACAGAAACCATGTGGGTTTGTCTGAAAATAGTGTACCCCTACACCCAATGGTTAATGATCATTATCCCTACTAAATGGCTATAATTGGGGGTATACCCCATTGTCAGACATACCCATGTGTTTTTTGAATGTATCGATCTTCTGAATTTCTTGTGATATCTGAAACGAAAAAACGTTTCGGTAGAGCCAGTCATGGTATCAAGACATGCCACCCTTCGCCCAGAGAGACCAACTTGGTCCTTGGGTGAAGACGGCCTGGGCCCACGGGAGGTTTCCGTTCCACTGCTCGCTCCGACGGTCCAGATTCGTCACAGGTCTTTTTGGGTCACTTTAAAAATATCTTTTAATCTATAGGGTCTATAGGAATCTAGTCGGTAAGCAGATGGAAAAGTCGGTTCATAACTAGTTTGGTAGACTATTTGTTTGGGGGTGATGCTCAAAATGTTTAGATGTGACACGATGATGTGTACTTTCGTCATGTTCATCACCAGAGGACGGTTCAGATTCTGACCATTTTTTGGTTCTCAACTGTACTCTGCAGACGACAAATCGATTTGTACAAAAAGTGCACCCCAAAATCTCATGATGTGTTGAAAATCACGTTCCGCGTCAAAATTGCCATACTTCGGCACCCTGCAGCTGAATTCCTACCTGATTTGGACTTAAATTTCAGCTATGGCGTGACATCATTAATGCAACAAGTGATGCTTGTTGACTATGTGCCACCAACGACATCATTGGCCTTTAATTTGGGGTAATGGTAATTAACCATGGCAAAAAATGCAAATCAGATATAAAGGATACCTGACTGTTGGTTGATGATTGTACTAGATACTGTATACCACCTGGCTCAATATGGATTGTGAACTATATAACCCATGATAGGAATACCTATAAACCAACTGTAGGATGTTGGTAGTTTTCATGTCCCAACTGAAGTAGCAGTGTCCATTGGCCAAAATGGAAGGTACTGCTATGGTCAATTTGAGCAATATGAAAATCTCGCTGATCATCCATCCATCAAATACAACTTGATTGATGTACCTTACATACAGCTATTTATTGCTGCGATTCATGAAGCATTCCACCAGCTGCTGTGGATTTTAAAACTTAGAAGTTGACATGTGGTGGCATGCACCAAACATAGCATGGCCACTGCGCAAGGATGACATGTGACTGCCATTGCAAAATGGCTCAAGCCAACGAAAGTTGGCTCAAGGGCGAGACGAAAAAGGTCTTGCCTAGCAGCTGCTGCTTCAGCTGTTGATCCACGGGTTATGAGCCCAAAGGATCTCAGCTGACATGGAGTTGGCCAGTCGTCGAGAGTCTTCTCTTCAGCGAAGAGCTGCTGCTGCTGTTAGCGCTGTGAAAGCTGCCGGCTGCGCAGACGACCTGATGGAGGAGATGTTGGAGGAAGCCTCTGGGTCCAAAACTGGTGGGTCTGTTGGAGCTCTAACTGGTGAACCTAATACCACTGAACCTGTGAATAGTGGGGGTATGTTAGATGCTTTGGGACCTGTAGGACCTCCGTTGTCTTTTTCCCCTGGTCAGCCACCCATGTTAGTTGAGGGAGCTAAGGGAATGCAAAACCACGAGGTGAAACAAAATGTTGAAAACACACCTGGTGTCAAAAGGGTCGTTGTGACAGAGCAACAAACTCGGAACCCACCAAATGAGGGGACTGGAACTACCACCGAATCAGCGCAGGGGATTGTGAATGAACATAGTCCTAGAGATGGTGCTGGTAAGGGAAAGGGGTCTAGCTCTGAGTCTGGCAGAAGGGAACCCAGAAAAACTGTTGCCGCAGAAGCACAACACTCAAACCGGGATGTGCAGAGCTCACGCGTGAGGGGTTCTGAGGGTGTTGAAAATGTGTCGCAGGACTCGCGAATGAGGGGTTCTGTTTGTGAAACTGTGTCCCAAGACTCACGCATGAGGGGTTTTGGTCGTGAAAATGTGTCTCAGAGCTCACATGTGAGGGGTTCTGAGGGTTGTGAAAATGTGTCGCAGGGCTCACGAATGAGGGGTTCTGTTTGTGAAACTGTGTCCCAAGACTCACGCATGAGGGGTTTTGGTTGTGAAAATGTGTCTCAGGGCTCACATGTGAGGGGTTCTGAGGGTTGTGAAAATGTGTCTCAGGGCTCACATGCGAGGGGTTCTGAGGGTTGTCAAAATGTGTCGCAGGGCCTCACTGAAAAGGGTTCTGTTGTTGTGAGTGAAACCATGCCTCAGGGCTCCGCGAAGGGTTCAGGGGTTCAAAGGTTTTACATAGGTGATGGGCCTCAGGGCTCCGGAGCCGTTGTTGTCGCGCCTCAGGGTAGCAAAAATGTTGTTGTGGTTCCAGACCAAATGGAGGAAGTTGTGAATCCCTTCTGGAGCGAAACTCAGCAGCGTGAAGCTGTTCGAGAAGCATTCGGGCCTGGGTACGATGTGAGTGCCTTGGGTTTGCAGCCGGGTTCAAATGCGTCGACACCCCAAAAAGTTTATGTGGAACAAAGGGAAAGTGTTGATGTTGAAATGGATCCAATAGAACTGTTCCGATTGCGTTGTTTGAGAGATGCTGAAGAAAAGTTTCGGCAGGGTTTGTTGAATATGGGGATGAGTGCCAAGGAGTCAAGGGTTGAAAAACATGAGCATGAAAAAGGGTCGCATGGTTCTCAAAGTTCATATGTTTCGGCAGTGGATTTCCAAGAGCCTGTTGCCCCCAAATCTCATGATGTGGTTGAATCCCAAATGGTTCATGATCCATATGTGAGGGTTGTACCTGAAAAGGCTGTGACGTTCACGAGGGTTGCACCTGAAAACGTTGTGTCAACTGTGTCAAATGTTGTTGAACCATTTGTGCCTAGGCCACCACCTGGACCTCCACCACCATCGCCGCCAAGAATGTTGAATAGTGTATGTGGGTTAGGGTCAGTAACACCTCAATTCCCTCCTGCACTGCCACCTTTTCCTGCGTCTGTGGCAGGAAACTTGCAAAACTCAGGTGGTGAAAATCCATCTGAAAATCTCAGGACGGTGGAGCTTCCGAAGTTGTCCATGGATGCCACTGCTCTGCAATTTGGTGATTGGCTCAGCATCATCGATTCTCTCATGGGTGACTTGTCGTACTCGTCGGGGGATTGGTGGACCATGGTCAGGGGAGCTGTTGATCAGTGTTATAGGGATTGGTTGAATGTTGGACCAATTGAAAGGCTTAGGCTTCGACCACAGGTGGATCCTAGGGTTCATCTTTGGCCTCGAACGGAAAGAAGGGCTTTAGCCATGCTTTTGGGAGCCATTCCTGACCCCATCAAAGAAGAAGTGATTTCAGCTCGAAAACTGACCACTGACCAAGTGTTGTACAAGTTGTGCATCACCTTCCAACCGGGAGGTGCTACTGAGCGCACGAAGTTGTTGCAGAACATTACGGATTCCAAATGTGGTTCCAATGTTCATGAAGTTTTGGACTGGATTCGAACCTGGCGACGGTTTGTTCAAAGGGCTAGGGAACTCCATGTCACGTTGCCTGATGGTTTGGTTTTGCTAGGGGCTTTGAACAAATGTACTGATGTTTTGAGTGGAAAATCCCCACAAGTGGCATATCGTCTCAACATGATCCGCCAGCAGTTGAATGTGGATCAGTTGCCAACAGCAGAGACGATCCTGAGCTACTCCGAGCATCTGCAAGCTGAAGCTGAAGAGCTGACTTTGAGCGCGCCTGCGAAGGCAACTTCGGCTGTGAGGGCTGCTGCTTTGGGTGTGCCATTGCCTCCTGGGATCCCTC